GATCCAGTTTATCTTCGTGTGCCTGTGGTGGAGGACGGCAAAGTCTGTCCATGGAATAAGCCGGCTTTCGCCGAAATCTGCGAGGCTATTCAGCATGCAAGCGTATAAAGTCTATACGTAAGCTTTCTTATCTGCTGTTTTGGCTGCCGGCATTGTTGATTCAATGTGGAAAGACATGCCAAGCAGCTGACATTGGAACGCGCAGTGAACCGGAGAGGCTTGGCGCAACGTGCAAAGAGTCTAATCGCACTCGCACTGCGTGCGGTTCACGTATTTGGGAAAAGACTACAGAGGTAGCGTCATAAAATTAAGAAGCTGTGACTGCGTCGCTAGAAAATTTTGCCTGATGCCAGCACGCCGAGGCTTGTTGATTGATGTGTGTTGGCAGACGAGGGAATGTACCACAAACAATCATGTGTTGCAGACAGACGAAAGTTGCTTGATGCCTCTCACGTTGATTGCTGTGTAGAAAATTGTTGAAATTGATTTGGTTGAAGCTTTGGAAACCACTGTACCTTGTTTTTGGAACCGAGAAATTTCGGTATCGAGACATATCTCAATAGTGTTGCCTAAAATGGCTGCCAGAGATAGTGCCAGGGACAATGCCATGTATGAGGCAGAAAATGATCAACTCATTGGCAAGCTCATCGAGCTAGAATGCGCCACAAGTGCATTGAGGTTAGTGCAGACGTTGGTCGTACTTCTGGAGCGATTGATACCACTGTTAGAAGAGATCAGGGCAATTAGCCGCAACAGCTTGGCTGTCATCGCTATGCTGAAAGATAATCTGCTGAACGTAGAAGCGGAGTTACAGCAACGATCATTCGAAGTGCGAGAACAAATACTAGCAAGGTATCATAGAGCTTTGAGAGGCTGGCGAGAGCAATGAAGCGAGTTTGTATTCGGCCGCATTGACGGCGTCAGACGCACTAGCCGCGCGCATTGTTGACGCACTGTGGGAAGACATGCGTGGGGCCGGCCTGCGAATCTTTTTGTCAGCTCTCATTTCATGATTGACTCAGTGTGGGAAGACATGAATGACGACGGCCACGTGATGTTTTCTTGGCTGCCAGACTCATTGTTGACCCAATGTGGGAAGACTGGGGTCGCGACGGCCAAATCAAAACCATTCGTGACACGCTTAGACTCGGCCCCACTGCGGGACAAAGTGCTACAGGTCTTGTCAGGATTTTGATCACACAAAAAGGAGATAAAAGGAGACAATTCGTGCAAGAGACTGAATTGTATCGTTTCTGCGCATCTTGCTTTGATAGCTAGCTCCATATACGCGTCCTGTCCTTTTGCGGCTAGGTACTTTTGCGCTCTGTTGCTGTCGATGCCAACAACTGCAGGCTGCGCTGTGGATCTCTAACAAAGAACTATTTTATTTTGTGCTTTCGTCATCTTGATCCTTTTTCTGTGCTGCCAGGTGTTGCTTGTCGATGGTATGTCATGTTGCTGTGTTGTGCCTTTTTTGGACCGCAGAAAGATTTTTTGTCTCGAACTTTTCTTTGACGGGCGGTTTCTGTGATGACGCGGTTCCTCTGATGTGGCCTGGCGGTGCTTCTGCTGTAAGTGTTGCGGCAGAGTTGCTGGCAGGCCCCATGTGGGGAGGTAGGGAGGGTGGGCCAGGCTGCCCGAGCGGGCAGCCTGGAAAAAGACCGACCAGGTCAAGACTACGACGCAACGCTATTACCCAACAGACAGCATGCTGAACCACTCAACATGCAACCGCTTTTTTTTTCCAGCCTCGACGGTCTGCCCGGCGCAGCCCTGGGTCCGCGAGCGGGTTGGGCCGGGTCGCGCGGGTGAGAGCTGACGTGCGTGAGCAGTGCAGAATCAATTCTGCCACCGAATCTTCAGGAACAGTTACAGATACAGCATCAGTTCGACCTTGCGAGTCAGTTCCCAGCGTCTGTGGCTGGACGGTCCAGGCAAAGACCCTGGGTTTCCTGTGTTTGCTCTGCGTCAAGGTTTGATGCAATCGAGGCACGTGGATAACGGTTTGCAGTGTCACTGCAGACCGGATGCAGACTCTTGCGGTATAACAGCTGTCGGAGCACTGGAAAGCATGCATGCAGTCTGCCAGAATGGTATCACTACAGGCAGACTGGATAGAAACTGTTTCTGGATTTTCATCTACTCCTTTTTGGTCTCGGACGTACTTACAAACTGGGAGTTGAGAACAAAGACTATATGCTCTTTATCGATTGACGCGCCGTGCGAAGATACATTTGATGCTAAGTCCTCCTTCCATAACTGCTGAATGCTTTTGGCAAATGCCATGCCACCATTTTCAAAAAGTTGTACGAAGCATTACGTTGATCGGTTCAACGCGAAATCGTGGAGATCTGTACGATTTCTCGTTTGACTGATCAGCGGAACGCATCGTACAATTTCTTGAAGAACGGTGGCATGGCATTTGCAAAAAGCATTCAGCAGTTGTGCAAGGACAAACACTATATGCTCCTGAACACGATGCAAATGCGATCGAAAGAAAAGATGGCGTTCGTCCCAGCTCAGAACAGGTTCTGTGCAAACAGTTGCAGCTATTTGTATGTCACTGTCAACAGCTGTCGTGGGCGCATTGATGCAATGTGCGAAGATGATGCCTGCGATAGCGAAGTTTATACTAACAGCTTGTGTCGGCACATTGATGCGCTGTGCGAAGATGATGCCTGCTGAAGAAAGTTTATCAGAGTGCGACAGTTGTTACGAGAAGGAAGGGTGTCATCCGATGAATTGAGGCGAGGTAGCTACCATTATTTGTATTTTGCTCTACTGCCTTATGATGCCATGTAGGCAGATGTCGCGAGAGCTTCATGTCATGGGATGGTACACTGTCAACAGCTGTCGTGGGCGCATTGATGCAATGTGCGAAGATGATGCCTGCGATATTGAAGTTTGTGTTAACAGCTTGTGTGGGCACATTGATGCACCGTGCAAAGATGATGCCTCTCCTCTTGAAGAGACCAGGAGAGGTTAAACATATAAGATAAACGATTTATGCGGCCCAAGGCCTTATAAATCAATTTGCTCTTTCTGCAGAGGTTACACTTCGGCAGGCATGCTCCGTGTGGTATCCTTCAATCACAGAAGAGTGTGACACATGCCAAGTTAAAGGCATGGCAGGCCTCTTAAGATTATGGAAATGTAGTTCAAATGAGCTTGTTCGAATCCCACCCACCGCACATTCAGCAAATTTGGAAGGTAACCCTTTTTAGTCATTAGGCATCATTAGGCTATATGCTGTTCAAGACCGTTTGTCTTGGATCCCCAACCCACCACACCCTCAGCAGATGCTACACAGTGCCTAAAGCAGGCAATCGGTCAATCACTTTTTTGATTGCACAGGACGGTCTTTCCATGCAGTCAGCCTTGAGCATGCACGCGCATGTTGCTTTTTGTTTTGGTTGGAAACTTCCGCCCTACAACGCACGGGCCAAACAATCTTGCACATATCATATGTAAAATTAGTCTGGAAATATACCCCAAAATATCATGGCTAATTTGGATAATATTCAAAAAACAGTGTGTGTGTATATATATATATACATGTGTATATCTCTCTCGCTCCCCCCCCTCTCTCTCTCTCTCTCTCTCTCCCTCTCTCTCTCTCTCTCTCACTCTCTCTCTCTCTGTGTTTTAGAGATACCCACGCCGTTTTCAAAGAAAAACAAACTGGCTTTGGTTTCCTCAGGAACCCTCAAAAGCTTAACCAGTTCACGCGGGAACCCTAAAAAACTGTCTCCCCATGAAATGCAGGTAACCTTTGCCATTCTTCAATTTTTTCTACTGCGCTGCCAAATCGCCAACCCATACCTGGGCTGCAAACACTGCGTAATGCTCCAATGTCCTTATGGACATGGTGCTGGGATGGGTATGTTTGGTCACCCGCTTTTTGCGGCCAATGACGTCCTCATCCAGAGTGCATGAAAAATACTTCGGGTTCTGGTAGATTGCAAAGTCATACACCAGATGCTCATGTTGGTGTTGTTTCGGCCGAAGTGGCCACCGAAGCTGCCGGTTGTTCAATGCTGCATCAGCAAGCCCTTAGTTGGTGTTTGAAGGAAAACCATAAATTTGAAATACCTCTGTCAATTGTTGGGTTATGTAGCCCTTGAAGTGGAAAGAATGACAACAACAAATGCATGACTTAGGCCCCAGTGGGTTAACACTATGGTTTTCAAACTGGAATTCAACCATGGGACAATTGTATGATGAACGGAAACGGTGATATGCTCCTTGCAAACGCACAGCTGGGTGATCACTGCCCCACAACATGCGAGGCCACCATTTCCTTGGCAGGAGTGCATAGGAGTGCATTGTTTCAGCCATACAGTTTCAAGAGAAACACAGAAAAAAACTGGAGAAACTTTCTTGGACAGCAAGTTTCCCATTTTCAGCGCACGTCGTGTAAAAATCCACCATAGCCAAGCAAACATTGCATGTATGCCTCAGGCAATGTTGCTGCCAATAATACCCAGTGAAAATCAGTTGGGGGTCCTTCAAAAAAACCTTAGATGGCTTATAGCTCCCAACCCAGTATAGGTATGCATTGGTGGTTTCTTGCATGTATCTAGGAAATCAGTAAAATCTAAAAAAAAGAAAAGTGAATTCGGAGCAAAGCACTGGAAATGCAATGACGTTTGACCACAGTTGAACTGCTGCAGGTATGTAGCCAACCAATACATGAACATTCTGGCTGCAATTCCTTTCAATATTTTTTGAGAAATACTGCAGTACTTGTCAGAACCATCCCCTGCCAAGACCTTCGAAGTGAACAGTTTCGGTGATGCACGGGAATGGTGCGGGATACCTGACACAAGATCGAAACTGCAGGCCCATGCATGTTTTTCCTCCCAATTTGAAGGGCTCCCTTATGCAATATTCAAAATATTGCATCAAAAATAGGGTGGTGTGATATACGCATGTCCACACATAGGGTCCAGTGCCAACAATTCAACACAACAAAATCTAGAAACCAAGAGCTTTCGGGTTTCTAGGGTGTGAGCCATGTGGCATTGCTCGCTGCACCAGACGTCATAGTCTGCAAGAAGTTGCTGTAGCTTCCGTTCTCGAGGACTGCTGGTATCGGACATGTCCAGGAGACAACTCGAAATGACATCATGACAGAGCTGAAGGTCCATGATATGCAGTAAATCAGGGTAAATTCCTGACTCTGGAACGTTGCTCATCATCCAGCTGCTACTACCTATATAACTACACCAGGTCACCAAGAAATCTATGAACAGCAGAAAAAAATTGGCAAACATCTAGCAACCAAGAATCTCCAGGGCGAAAACCCTGGAACTTCACACAGGGGCGTTTTTCCATGCACGTTGATCCAATCAGCTGCATCAGCCACAAGCCTCACAGGCAAAGCAGTTATTCTCATCGAACTGCCAAGCACACGCATGAAAACCCCAAAAGTATATAGACTTAGGTGTTCGGGCCAAAATCGAAATGTTCAGAGATATACTTGTTCCTTTCCAAGACATCAAGGCACGTAGATCGATGTGCAGCTGTTGGACCATAGGCAGTGAACAGCATTGATTCGGGCTCCCCAGGGGATAGGAAAGACACAGCTTCGCAATACTGACATGCCAGTCGTCGTTTCGAATGCCAAGATCCTGATTTGCCACAACTATGCAAACACACTCCCTTCTGACAATTGATGATTGAAAGTTTGGTGGCTTGCTATCATGAATTGCAGTCTAGCATCTTTTGAATCGGAATATTTTATGGAGAAATTCCTGGTCACCCTGGACGCCATCCAAGACGCCCCGCCAACCACCACAGATAGGGGATCCAGCAAGATGGTACCACTGTGGCCGGTAGGACTCACTGAAGGCTACACCATCCCAATCGTGACTCGGCCAAACGCCTTGACCTCTCAGGGTCAAGGAGCAGGTAATGGTGCATTTGCAAGAAAAAATGTCTAATCCCAATCACATGGAGGCTGCATTTTATTTCTGAGGCAGTAGGCAGGCAGTGCCTTTGAGCAAAATACACCACCAACAAAATGTACTCCTTCTTGGGGGTTGGTTGTAGCAACATCTGGATGTACCACCAATTCATTCCATATTAGAGCATTTTAGAATTGACATCCATAATTTTTAGGGATCCGCCATTTGAAGAAACACCCATTTCCTGCAATATCTATTTGATCCCTTTTTAGATTTGGGAAGCCGCTCCATCCTTTGCTTCACACCTAGACCCGTCATAGTCACCCATAGGACTACTTGGACAAAATGTGGAACAAGCAACGCTCCTTTTTTTGTGGGGCAATTCTTTAAACCCAATTTGATCCAAGTCACAGAGGGCCTGGAAAGACCACACAAAGATGTTCAGTAATTTCATGCGCTCTGAGTCATGAGTGTAGTGCGAATTGCGAACTGAAAGCCTGGGCCAGGCATCAAGAATATCAGGGGCCTGCAACTATATACATGGCATCAAGCAAAACATTGAATGCTCAAATGCTGCCTTGCATTTACAGTCACTTTCTTATATATATATATATCTCTCTCTCTCTGTTTATGTGTTTAGGTATCTAACCACAGCACAACAAACAATGGCTCAATAAAGGTTGAAGCAACACAAAACGCGATTTCAAGGAAGAAGAGCGGTGAGGAGCCACTGACATCATACCGATCAATTCGAAAGTGTTCAAGCCAATAGTGTCAGCACCATCTCCATAAAACCTCAATGGGAAAACTCGCTCCATAGTTTCGGGCCCAGAATCGCCCCAAAACGCTTGCAGATCACCAGCCAAATCGGGATTTTGCCTCCAATACTCGTAGAGGTCCTCGGATTTTTTCAAGGAGATGCAGAGAAACATCATCTATGAAATTGACCAATCCCAAAAACAGAAGTCTCGATTCATTTGTTTGCTATCCCGTTTTTACTCCACACCAAAATCTTTTTTGTCCATCCCTTTATGTATTGTTGGAAAGATGCCCAAAATAAATCCTCCCACAATGTCATTCCATTTGGCAAGCCCACTATTGCTGTTGGGTCATTCCATTTGGCAAGCCCACTATTGCTGTTGGGAATAGGGGAAGAACTGGCTAGGAAAAAACATTGCTTTCAGGTGGTGTAGTTTGTGAAATATATGACGGCTCTAATCTGTTTATGCCTGAAACGGGGCTATCTCCAATAGTTAAAGGGAAAATTTGATGTGCAGGGGCTCAACAAGTACCCAGGGGCATGGGGTGTTCCAGTCAACATGCTGTAAAAGAGGCCCCCAGACCGGAAATGATAGAAAGCAGATGCCACCTCATGAGGCAGAAAAATGCCAAGTCGAACTTGCTGCATCTTCGAGTGAGGACGTGCACCTGCCTTGGCACAGAAAGCTGAACAAGTGTCAACTGGAGATTCCAACAAAAAACATTCCAAAACAATTCAATGGGTTATCTGTTGTTTTTTACTGGTGTCGAACAAGCTACCCGATCAACACATATTTCGAAGATGGGTGGGAGGCAGCGACGCCATTCCTGTTTGCTGACCCATCGGCTAAACACTCGTTCAGATGCCCATCCCTGCGCATTCTGAAATGACACTGCCAGATCTAAGATGCTGGACCTCAGCTCATGCAAAAGAAGCCCAAAGATTTTCAAATAGAACAGCACTTGCCTTGGAGGCTTGCACATAAGAATCATTCGAGTTTTTTGTTGAATTGCAATTGAGTTGAAAATTTCTATGGATTCCGTTGTTTCAGCAACATGTTTCAGATCTCACAAATTGGTCTCTTGCAGCAAAAACCCAAGATCGTTGCTGGCTATTCAGCCCACTTGTAACCCACTGGATCCATTAAAACAAGCCTAGCTGCGGCACCAAGTAGTGAGGTAACTCAAGTAATGCAGCAGTGAGCTCCACTAGTCGCTTCATCTTTGCCTGTCAGGGTTTCCCCTACTGCCATGTTAACATCGAATCCCGGCCATGACATGTAAAAGGTAAAAGGCCGAAGAACGAAAAGGCATAAGAAATTCGATGTGGTTTACACCACTATTTTTTGGGGTTGGGATCCAGTTCTGCTTTCACAAAGCTGGCCCCCAGAAAGTCCTGCCTCGCCAGAACCCAAACATTGAAAGAACTGCTCAACTAGTTTTGGAACCCCTCTGCGGGACCGCTTGATCGCTGGCATCGATGGGCTATGCACCTGCGCTGTTGCTAGGCTGAATGCATGTCTGGGGTGAGGGGTGACATGCAAAGACAAAATCAGTACCAATGCATTTCAACTTTTTTTTGATTTTTGGATCCATGTGATAAAAACAGGAAACCTCTGTTAGCGGGTTCAACCAAGCAATCTCGTTTTTTTTTGGCGGAAAGCTCACAGTTGGTTAAGTGGCAAAGCTAGGCACCTGCACGCACCAGTATGCTGTACATACTGCGTTGCAGTATTACACATCTTATGCTCAAAAGCACACCAGGTGCATGTTCTATGGTTCATAGCTAATGCCAAACCCCTCAAAAGCAACGCCCAGCGCAGGGCATCCATCAGGAATCCTGCAAACAGATCAAAGATCCAAGGAACACCATATGTTGGAAATGTGGGTGTCAATCAAATTCAACACAATAGCCAGTTGCATGCGCACAATTCAGTGCTAGCCCTGCCTCTTCCCACTCACCACCATGGCTCTTCACCCTCGCCCCATGGCACTTCACCCTCGCGCCATGGCTCTTCATCCTCTTCCCACTCAAGTCCCTCGTCAGCCATGCCTTGCTCTTCATTTGCTGCAGCCTCTGCCTCAGCCTTTGCTTTCTTCTTTGCAGCATCCTCTCGCTTTTTCTTTTCACCTAAAACCAAAGAAGCAAAGATGGTAAAGCAAAGAAACCATGCGAAGTTTTCAATTGAACTTGGTGCCAGCTTGTCAATGCACCAAGGTTGGCACGTCTCTTCAAAGTATTGGCGGCCGATTTGGCACTTTCGATGGCATCTTCATGGAGCTGGCAGTGGCAGCTTGGAAAGCGACAGCTTGAATTGCAAGATGTGCAGAAATTGTTGCAGTGACACTGTTTTAACTGCTAGAATGTAGGGCTCTATATATATATATATGTATGTATGTATGTATGTATGTATGTATAAGCACCTGCCTATATTGTTTTGGTTGTAAACCTATTTTCACAGGGGTTGGTGAAGCCCTTCCTTGTTGAGGGTTGTGGAAATCACCTTCATTTAAACATGTTGGAGATTATATCACGAGTACTTGGGTGGCTGATGTACTGTGCCTATATGCTTGCATCTTTATCTATTGGTGCTCATAAACAGATATGTCCAAATAATATACAAGTATGCATGTGTGAATTTTAAAGCCATCAAATATGTACATATAGGTATGTATGCAGTTTATATTTTATCAATTTAAATATTTGTATATATACACATACATATATATATATACATAAATATATTTACATATAGATATATATATGTTTTTCATAACCCCAATGTTTAACATATATATATATATACATATGTAAATGGAAATTTCATGAAACCCAAGATACCCTGGCCTCGATGAGCTTGCGGTTTTGGTCATAGTGCTTTTTCACAGCGGCGACCGTACGCCCATCAACCAACATAGTTTCCATCCTACAGCGATTTAGAGAGAAACGCAGCCAAGTGCAAAGTAGAAAACTAACAGCTAAGCTTGTGCTTCAGAATTTTGTTTTTCGGGGAGAGGCTACCCTGTCAGTTGTGTGCCAATGAAATCCGAAAGTTGTCCAAGGCTGGCACTGACTGGCCATGTTGCCAACCTCTTGGAAGATTTTCTTGCAATCCTCTCGCATAGCCTGCCATGAGAATATTCCCCATTGGCATCAAAAGTTTTCAAAATGAGGTTGAACTGTTTGACGAAAATGGCAGGGCCAAAGCAAAGCCATCAAATCTAACGTTATGATTCTTTATCACGTGTTTTTTATGGGCAATCAAAACCAGTCAAAATTTCTCAGCAACAACAACAACAACGGTTGCTGTGGCCATCTCAGGTATGTACTGGCTACCTGCCTTGTTTCCAGAGAGGAGATGCAGGGTGTCGCCCACATCGCGAGCCCGGGTTGCAAGAGTTTTCAACCTGGGCAAGCAAATTTCCACTTAGTTTACATGGACTGTTGAGTTTAGAACCCATCGTGATGCAGGACGTTCCAAGCATAGGCCCAGACCCTTTGATAACTTTGCTAACTTCTTTCTTCAATTCGGCCTCTGGATCCTCTTTTTTTGGGGTAGGGGTTCCTCCACCGTTTACAGCACGTGCTCCCCTGCGTCTGCGTGGAGCTGTCTCCTCATCACTGTCATCATCCTGGCCCTTTCCTTTCATCCCCCCAGATCCCAATGGCATCATGGCATCGCACATCCCGTCCATAGTTTTTTTCATCCCTTCAGAAGCTGCTGCATCCACATTTCCATCATCATCATCGGCATCGACGGCAAACGTTTTCTTGATGGCTGTCTTTGCCACATTTTCAGTGCCACCTGGCAAGCTTTTAGGAATAATTTGTGTTTGTGCGTCATGCAACTTTCACACCAGTATTAAACACAATGGAATGGTGCGGGTGGTAAGCCAGAGGCACTCTTTCTTGCAGTGTGCTTGAAGACTTTGTAGATGCGGTACTGTGGACTGCTTTTGAACTGCCAGGCAGGAGAAATAACAATTACAATGCTCAAATCCCTGATCATACAGACCTTCAAACCAAGGCATTTTTTACAATTTGTTTGCAAAGAATACGTGTTTGTAGCCTCAGCCTTGGATATAGAAAGCAGTTGCCACCATAAATCCAAATTACTGGCCTTCTTGTCGGGATGAGGCCTTCCTTTCTGCGAATTCTTGATGTCCTCGATGTATTGCCTCCAAACACATAAAGCTAAAGTGACTTTGAAGGCATCATTCTGTGAAATATTTACAGATTGAATAAAGATTTCGAAGGAGCCTGCCAGCTTCAGTAGATCCGTATTGAATCTCCAAATCCATCAGAGAGATCTCATGATAGACATCATCATGCTTGGTGCGATTTTTCCTGGGAAAAAACACGAGGCAATGTTCTTGCTTGCATGGGCAAACATGTCACATTCAGTGCATAGAGTTCCAATAGGCTTTCATAGGTTCAAAACCAAGTTTCGCTTCAACAGAACCTTCCATCTGCACGCCACGCCTAGGACAGCTACTTGGAATGGTGGCACCAACTTTGACGGCTACTGGAAAATTTCTCACAGCACTCACCGACTTTGTGCAACTTGGATGCATCTCATCGGCCAAAAGGAACTCCTTGAGGAGCTGGAACCTTTTCCGTGATGAATGTAAATTTGAAGAATCTGTAGTGGAATTGCTAAAGCTAATGGTGGTAACTCACCACAGCATGGCATCAAAAGCAGGGGTTGGTTTGTGAGGCCAGGACTTCTTGCTGTGGTTCCCAGCAGCGGCTGCATACTTCTCCATCATTTCCGCTGGTAGATCTGACGCGTGCACACACACACACAGAAGGGTGTAGGGGATATCGAAAAATGCCAATAACGATGAACATGTGCCAATCCATGGTATTTTTTTTGCATTTGTGACATTCACATGCATTCGCAGGTTTTGGGGTCCCAAAGGAATGGACCCCTCAAAAATTAAGCTTGCCTCCTGCATTGTACCTCCTGTCCATAGCACTGTAGAGGCAACGGCGCTCCTGCAGACTTCTCCACAGATTGGCTTATGGAAGGCTGAGCTGCGTCCCTTGGTGTATGGAAAAACATGGGGGAAACCAACACTGTAGCTCTTTTCCACATGATTTTCACATGCCACTTGGATCCATATAGCACCATATGTTTGGCTGTTCAATAGGAAATTGTCCGGGCAACTTGCAGAATGCATTGGAAAGCCCAATCAAATAAAATGGTTTTCGAAGTACTGTTCTTGACGTTTTTGAGACCTTCAAAAATGGAAAACAAAAGGCACTTAGAAAAAGGATGGGTAACGCAATGCATGTTTATGGACCCATGCAAGATGCCCAGGAAATGTCAAATTCATCATGTGCTAGCAATTTTCCCATTGGTTTGCCATTACCCCAAAAAACAAAAACAAGCAAAACGGAACCCCCGAACCCCCCAACTTGGAACCAAAAGTTTGTCCTTGACATCCAGCTCGCTGGGAGACGAAAGTCCAGCAATAGTAGCTTTCTGGCCATCCGAAAGCTGTCGCACCTTAGTTTATATTTTATCAGGGCAAGAATTCCATTGAATTCCCATCTCAAAGAAAGAGGTTCAATGTTGTAAAGTTCCGTTGCTGCCTCACTTTGTTTGAGCATGCATGTGTGCAAACCAGCCATGAACTAAGGGTGCACGATAGCTCTGAGTGAACCACCCGCCGAAGACGACCGTTTGAATCACGAACAGCGAGGCCCCTCACAATCCCGTCCTGGCTGGTACAGACTGAAACCATTTCCTGGTAAGCAATCAAAATTACAGCTAGTAGCTGATGTGATGCATATTAGAGCATATATCTTAAGGAATTATATGTGGGGTATAGGGGCCGAAACATCTATAATAAATAAATATATATATATACACATAGTTGATTCATACATATTATATATTTACATATAGTATGTATTTTTATATGTGTATATATCTATATTAAAAATGGTGTATAAGTATACATATTAAATGCGACTCTAACCCAGTAAAATCACCAACACAGGGTTTTCGATGGCTCATTCTTTAGTGTTTGACTTTGTTCAGTTCACATGTCCGTTCAAGACAGCTAAGAAGAGGGCACTCGAAATGCTCACTGATGTGGGAGACCGCTGCCTGATTGTCCACTAGTCTGTTGTGCAAAAATTCAAGTCACCAGAAATGAGCAGTGCAGGTGTTCACACATGAAGCCAAGATGCAGCTGCTCTGGCGTTGTGCCTGCCAACGCTGCCACACGTATGAGAGTAGAAAAATACAAAGGAAAATTACTTTACTTCGTGTGATCCCCACCATGACATTTATACATTTTCTTACTGGCAAATCTTCTGGCATTCTATCTGACATATCTTCTGGCATTCTATCTGGCATTCTATCTGGCATATCTTCTGGCATATGTTCTGGCAAAATATCTTCGGGCATTCTATCTGGCAAATCTTCTGGCATTCTATCTGGCATATCTTCTGGCATTCTATCTGACATATCTTCTGGCAAACTATCTGGCATTCTATCTGGCATATCTTCTGACATATCTTCTGGCATTCTATCTGGCATTCTATCGGCATATCTTCTGGCATATCTTCTGGCATATGTTCTGGCATATCTTCTGGCATTCTGGCATTCTATCTGGCATTTTTTCTGGCATTCTATCTGGCATATCTTCTAACACTCTATCTGGCATATCTTCTGGCATTCTATCTGGCCGTTGAGGTCCAGCGGTGCACACTGAGCTGGGCAGGTCCCAGGTTGAGGTCCAGCGGTGCACACTGAGCTGGGCAGATCCCAGGTTGAGGTCCAGCGGTGCACACTGGGCTGGGCAGGTCCCAGGTTGAGGTCCAGCGGTGCACACTGAGCTGAGACGGTCCCTGGTTGAGGTCCAGCGGTGCACACTGAGCTGGGAAGGTCCCAGGTTGAGGTCCAGCGGTGCACACTGAGCTGGGAAGTTGGCAAAGAGCTTGGCGAAGAGAGTTGGCAAAGAGCTTGGCGAAGAGTTGGCAAGGCGGAAGTGCAGGTGGAAGTTGATGCAGACATGGTCGAGGAGAAACTGGAGGAGGAGGACGAGGAGGAGGAGGAGGAGGACAGCTAGGAGAACAACTCTGATAAAATCTAACAACCCTCACCTGGCAGGTGGGGAACTAATATATTGATCAAATCCCAAGATAAGAACTTTCTCAAGTGAAGCTCTGCGAAAAAAAGCAACTAAAACAGAAATGCAGTGAAACAACAGACACACATGTGCCTGCAGATGCTACCTTTTGGTTGTGTTCTTTGCTCTTGCTTTTGCCTTTCCCTTTTCCCTTTGCCTTGACTGAGCCATCCTGCCAGAAATCACCAATTTGCAGCTGCTGCATTGGCACATGTTGTGTGCCAGTTTCTTGATATGAAAATATCCTTGGTGTTCTGATTACATGCTGCAGCTCTTCTAACTTTTTTGTTTGCCAGTCTCTTTACAAGTTGCACTTGCCTGGTGGGGCGAAACACTTGCTGATTTCTTCTCGAACCTCTCTCTTGGTGATTCTGGGTATTCACCAACATCTTCAGTGTCATTGACCTTGCTGTTGCTTGCTGGTGCGGCCTTGGCCTTTGCTTCCTTCTTGCGTGTCTCACCTCCTGGTGTGGTCTTCTTGGGTGCTGGTTCCACCACTTCCGGCTCATGTGCATCACCAGTCTCATCTGGGCTCTTCTTCTTTTTTTTCTTCTCTCTCGAGGTGGGTGTCTCATCCACCGGCTCTGCATCACCAGTCTCATCTCGGTTCTTCTTCTTGTTTTTCTTCTCTGTCGAGGTGGCTGTCTCATCCACTGGTTCTGCTTCACCAGTCTCATCTCGGTTCTTCTTCTTTTTTTTCTTCTCTGTCGAGGTGGGTGTCTCATCCACTGGCTCTGCTTCACCAGTCTCATCTCGGTTCTTCTTCTTCTTTTTTTTCTTCTCTGTCGAGGTGGGTGTCTCATCCACGGGTTCTGCAGCTGCAGTGGCCTCTTGTTGTCTTCTGCGTTTGAGCTCCTCATACGACTCCATCGCTGCTTCAACCCATTCATCATCATCCATATCTTCTTCCTGCTCACTGATCTTCTTGCTTGGCCTTTTTTTGACTTTCACTTTCTTTGCTGCTAGAGTCTTTTCTTCCTCTGCAGGGCTAGCTTCTACCTGTTTCCTTTTCTTTTCGACATTCCCTTCATCTTCAGCACATTCTGGTATTGGCTCCAGTGGCTGCCCTTTCCCTTTCGGAACCTTCCCCTTGCCTTTCCCTTTCTCTCCTGTTCCTTTGGAAGTACAGACTTTGCCCTTACTTGCCGTTCCCTTACCTGGGTCGACTTTGCCTTTTGCTCCTTTCGCTAAACCTTTGCCCTTCTCCGGAATGGCAAGTGCCAACTCTGGGGATGTCTTTGAAGGACACCGACGGATCTTGTGAGGCGGGGTGACGCAATCCTCTGTTCCATTTTCAGCCCTTGGAAGATCAGCGAAGAGATAAACCAACTTCTGAAAATGTATATGCTCACAACTGCAAGAATTCAGCAGTAAAAACACATCCATGGACCGCTAAGTGCGCCCGAGGGTCATGTCAGGCAGAGATAAAACTCCTTAGATGGCAAAACACGAAATTCACGAAATTTCACGTTGTGGCTAGGTCATAAATGATTTATAATGTCTTTTTCACGAAATTTCACGTTTTCCTTTTTTCTTCAAACCATGGTTCTTGACGCAACTTCGTGTCTTTCGTGAAAGATTTCACGAAATCCACGTTCATTTTGAAGCCTAAACCTGATATTCATGTTGGTTTCATGAAATTCACATTCATTTTGAAGCCGAAACGTGAAATTCATGTTGGTTTCAGGAAATTCACAGAATAAAACGTGAAATTCGTGTTTGTTTTCATGAAATTCACGTTCTATTGGGATCCAAAACGTGAAATTCATGTTGTTTTCGTGAAATTCACCGAATAAAACGTGAAATTCGTGTTTGTTTTCATGAAATTCACGTTCTATTGGGATCCAAAACGTGAAATTCATGTTGTGAATTTCGTGATATTCACAGCATAAAACGTGAAATTCGTGTTTGCTTTCGTGAAATTCACGTTCTATTGGGATCCAAAACGTGAAATTCATGTTGTTTTCGTGAAATTCACAGAATAAAACGTGAAATTCGTGTTTGTTTTCATGAAATTCACGTTCTATTGGGATCCAAAACGTGAAATTCATGTTGTTTTCGTGAAATTCACCGAATAAAACGTGAAATTCGTGTTTGTTTTCATGAAATTCACGTTCTATTGGGATCCAAAACGTGAAATTCATGTTGTGAATTTCGTGATATTCACAGCATAAAACGTGAAATTCGTGTTTGCTTTCGTGAAATTCACGTTCTATTGGGATCCAAAACGTGAAATTCATGTTGTTTTCGTGAAATTCACAGAATAAAACGTGAAATTCGTGTTTGTTTTCATGAAATTCACGTTCTATTGGGATCCAAAACGTGAAATTCATGTTGTTTTCGTGAAATTCACAGAATAAAACGTGAAATTCGTGTTGTAATTTGTTCAGACGTGAATTTCACATAAGCTACATCCTCTCAAACGTGAAATTCGTGGCCAACCGTGCAATTCATACAAATACTGTTGGATACATGTGTCAAGGTTATGGAATGAGATTCAGAGTCATAATCTGAAGAAACCTGCATTCTCATTGCAGCTGAAAAGCCACCACGGACAAAATGTCCCACCAGGATCTTGATCATATAGTGGCCCACAGTTGCACTCTTTGTGAATAAGGTGCATGTTGAAACAGCATGCAGGGCTACATCACACATGCCACAGTTAAGGCTTTAAAGGCAAAATAACATACATGAGCAACACCTGCCAGGCAGCGGATTTTCTTTTACCCCCCAAGTCTGAAAAGAGCAGCTCTAGTGCACTGCAGGTCAACCCAAGACACCATCGATGCCACTGTCATCGGATTCATCTCCGATGTCCTCAAACTGCAGGCCAGCATCCGATTCGATTGGTGGCCTGTTTTGTTTCCTAGGCCAGGCTGCATGCACATGTCACATGAAGCTGGAATCTATCCGACAGACACATTTTTCAAGCATGAAGATATTCTTGAAGTGCACCATTCTGCAAATGTTTGACGGGTACACTAATTGCCAAGATGCACGTGTTCACTCAGCAAAGCACCAATCTAGCAGGGATGCACAACAGCCAGCTTGACCATATACAGACTTCCCAATCGATCTCCATCAAGCTCAACAACAGAAAAATACAGAAAACCAAACCTGGCCTTCAATCCAAGATTGATTGGATATTCCCCGGAAGCTGTAAGGTGTGGTCCCCCTTGAACTTTCCGCACGCCATTCCGGTCATGATATTTGCGAACCAGCTTCAAGTTCAGATGGGACTTAAGCCGTGCCAGCCGCTCCCTGGCAGGCATGGGGAACCGGAAGAAATTGCATTCTTGGATGCGAGGCCAGGCAGTTTGATTTCTAAAATGCTTAAGTTTCAACTTTGGCTCTCAGAGGCATGGAAAAACGGACACTGCCAATATCTTCAATTGGGAACAAAATGGAATATTGAAAGTGCAAAGCCAAGCCTTTGCATCGGGTCAATTTGAACACCAAGGTCAAGAAGGTATGGAGCTGTAGTATACAATGTCACCCGCTTCCTCAGCCATATGCATCAATAATCTAGAAGTTTCCAACCAGAAAAAAAAGAATACGGTTAACCAGATTTCAGTGAAACAGACCACATTCCCTGTACCTTTTATCCCCCCAAACAAAAGGCATGACCCCAAGATTAAATAAGGTACCGTTTCACTTTGAAGAACCTTTTCAAAGCAAATCACACCAGTTCGTCAAGTTGCTCACTTCGCGCACCGTATGCTCCCAATGGAACGCTCACAGCCTTACAGGCATGCCTCTTCAACATATCCTGCGAAGCAGTGGCTTGGCCATCGTTAGCAATGGGACAGGATGACACAGGAAAACCAATGTAATTACTTTATGATATTCAAAGGGCCTCCATTGGCTGATATCGCCAGAGCAGTGTGCTTGAAGGCTGCTCTATGCAGTAATGGATGCCTTTCTTGAAGCAATATTCACACCTCAAACACATGCATGCTTCAGGGTTTGATGCATGATAAAGATGTCACAAGTTCGAGACTGTATTTCCACAAAGCTACTCAAAGTTTCATATTTCAAGGGCAAGTAATGTCGAGGATGTTTGGAAACTTGTCCCATGCATACCAAGCTGCATGTAAATCACACGTCGGATCAAGCGGTTTGCAGCAAGAACACCTTTGTAGCGTTTTGATCCTGCCAAAGATCGACCAAGCGCTGAAGCATTTGCAAATGTTTTGAACCAAGTGGATCAATATAATACATCTATTTATCTATACAACTATAGTTGTATATATATGTACGTATATGCAATAAAAAAAAAGGTGTATATATATAAATAAATACATATAGTCCCTTTGTAAAACGACTCTATATAAATATATATGCAGTGCTATTGGTGCTTTTATAAATCTGAGATGTCAAATCTTACCCATGTTTACATACTGTGAACCCTGTTGCTGCATGAATTGAACATAAAAGAAACAAGCCCTGGTTTTTGGGCAACTCTCCTCTTGCTCGTGTGAAAGTGCGTCCAGTGCTTCCCCTTGAGAGGAAAACCCATGTTGCACAGGGTGGGCCACACCACCATAGGCAGCCACGACGTAGTGTCCTGACCTCACACTCCATGCAGCTTGTACGATAGTTATCAGATATGGGGCCCCAATTTGGGATTTGTTTTTTGAGGAGGTGTAGAAAACAGAGACATGTCTTTGCTTCGGCTGATATTCAAATACAGAGGATATAGAAACAAGCTGGTTGGTTACCCCCCTCTTGAAAAAAATAACTTTACTTCGTGTGACCCCCACCATGACATTTATACATTTTCTTACTGGCAAATCTTCTGGCATTCTATCTGACATATCTTCTGGCATTCTATCTGGCATTCTATCTGGCATATCTTCTGGCATATGTTCTGGCATAATATCTTCTGGCATACCTTCTGGCATTCTATCTGGCAAATCTTCTGGCATTCTATCTGGCATATCTTCTGGCATTCTATCTGACATATCTTCTGGCATTCTATCTGGCATGCTATCTGGCATATCTTCTGGCATATCTTCTGGCATTCTATCTGACATATCTTCTGGCATTCTATCTGGCATATCTTCTGGCATATCTTCTGCCATATCTTCTGGCATATACTCTGGCATATGTTCTGGCATATCTTCTGGCATATCTTCGGGCATTCTATCTGGCATTCTATCTGGCATATCTCATGGCATTTTATCTGGCATATCTTCAGGCATTCTATCTGGCATATCTTCTAACACTCTATCTGGCATATCTTCGGCATTCTATCTGGCCGTTGAGGTCCAGCGGTGCACACTGAGCTGGGAAGGTCCCAGGTTGAGGTCCAGCGGTGCACACTGAGCTGGGAAGGTCCCAGGTTGAGGTCCAGCGGTGCACACTGAGCTGGGAAGTTGGCAAAGAGCTTGGCGAAGAGAGTTGGCAAAGAGCTTGGCGAAGAGTTGGCAAGGCGGAAGTGCAGGTGGAAGTTGATGCAGACATGGTCGAGGAGAAACTGGAGGAGGAGGAGGAGGACAGCTAGCCGAGCAGGAGGAGAACAACTCGGATAAAATCTAGCAACCCTCACCTGGCAGGTGGGGAATTAACATCGGAATTCTGAAACAAAGAAGCGCACTCCACACACACACATGGACATTCCCCCAAGTAAAAGAAGTCTCACAAGTTTTGCACTGTTGGATGCATATAACTGTATATGCATGTGTTCAAACATATATAACATATATATATAATATACGTTGTCCAAAGTCCACATGCAACAATGCAGGGAAGCTGCAGCTTGCAAGGCCGACAGAAATCCCACACATGCCAGCAGGTTCATCATTTTGTTGTAGAGCACCTCAGGCAAAAGCAAAAGCAAGATATCTGAAAAAAACGCAAGCACTTCAAGCAGCATTCAAGACAATTGATTTTGAAACCCTTTTGCAAATACATCCAGCCAAAAACCCAACTTTAAACGCAACTTAGAAACGTCACGTCTTGCAGCAGACAAATGAAACATGCGAACAGCTGCTGTCAGGTTTCCAGCCCCTGCACAATCCTCTTGGATGTGGGTGGCGCAATCTTCTGACACATCCCCATATGTAGAGAGCAAAACGCTCAGCACCACAGCTAGCTGCCGAAATTTCATTGCTCTACAGTAGCCAGGCTTGCCTTTGGAACACTAAAATGCTGTGCAAAGTGGCATCCGTGCAGAATCCAGAAAGCATGCACATGCAGAAACCTACAACATGCAAAACGTTGAAATTCTTGAGAACTCACATAGAATGAGCTGAACCCGCAACACTGGAGTGCAAAGCTTGGGGGATGGCGCACCTCCACACCATATTCCAGAGCCTGTCACATAGCTGGAAGAATAAAACGTTTGCAAATAGGTCCCCATAAATATCTATATATATATACTCTTGTATATGCAATATATATATATATATATATTTATAAATAATCACATATATATATAATTATATATATATGTGTGTGTGCATGTATATGTGTGCAAGTATACCCGGAAAAAAAAACGTGTTATATAAATGTTGACCACAGGACTGAAAATTTTACCTGCACTGCAAGTAGCATTTTCTGAAAAAAACAGTGGGCACAAATTAGCCTTGCAATTGTAAGATGCGGTTTTCCCTCTCACTGCCGCTGTCGTGTTCCAGGCATAAAATGCCACACTTGCGCCCACCAGACCATAGCGCTAAGCCCTTGAAGTACACCCACAAATGAATGCTCTGATTCTTTCAAAGCATCACTTGTTGAACCCCCATGATGCAGTAACTCGGGCACACTCGCAAAAAAATGACTGCAATAATGTAAGGCCATGCTTCGCTAGCTTGAAAGTTCTCACCCCCGAGCCACAAGACATCATAGCAACCAAGCAGTGCATACTGCCAAAGGTACAGGCACATGCTGACACGCCTGCACAAACCCTAGTGGGAAAAACCCGGCAAAAGAGCCAATCGCTGTAGACTGGAAATGGAAGCAAACACCCACATTTCAATCTTTACCTGCAAGTTGTTGACATGAAATTACAGTTCAACTGTTTTCTTTTCATGGCTCCATTAGTATCGCCTGCGCTTCACTTCATGTGCGGGAAGTGACATGACAATCGCCTCCCTCTCCTTGGAATTTTTCCAAGCAGACAAGGCTTCCTTGTAGCTAGAGCCTGCAGCCCTGGCCTCTTTAACAAACTCACTCATGGCCTTCATCATCGGCCCATCACTTGCCTTTCTCTTCTTACCTGCCTCTCCTTTCTCAGACTCCTTCCCTTTGGTTTTCTTGGTTTTCTTGGACGACGGCTTCTTTTTCTGAGATGAACCTGCAGGTTCAAGTTTCTTGTTCTTGGCCCCCTTGAGTTCTTTCTCCAATCTCTTGGCTGCTGCAAGTTGGGTTTTCCTCAAAGGGTCAATTGTCTTCTGATCTGGCGTTGGGACCTCCACAGAAAAATCCCGTGGTCTGGGAGGTGGTGTGACTGCACTGGGTGCCTTGGCTGAAGCTGCCTCACCATTGAAGGCCCTTTCCTGCCAAGCTTGAATCTCACGTGCCCACTGGTGGTCAGCCTCTTCCCAACCATGCTGCTGCTCCCAAAGATGCCATGCGTGTTCCTGCCACAAGAGATATGTTGTGGAAAAGACTATTGAAAGTTGAAGCAATATCAATATCAACCCAGCAGGACGTTTCACACACTTGCTACATTCTCTTTAAAAAACTTAAGGCCCTAAATACGACCCCCTTAGCATTGATTGGTGGATGGTTTGGGTCCTCAAAATCATCGCTTGCAAATGCAGCACTGGTCCTCAGTAGCACCAGCACCATCCGTCCAGTCGTCCGTGGGCACCTGGCAGACATGGAAGAAACATGGACAGCAACCTGGAATTTGACAGGGAAACCTTTAGCCTTTGACTTCACAAACTTGTTTCATCACCTATGCAGACTATGCAGTTTGACAATTCAAACTGTTTTCATGTTTTGCTTATAGAAACAACATTTGCAAGATGACATGTTACACACACACACAAACACACACAAACACACACAAACACACACAAACACACACAAACACACACAAAAACACACACACAAACACACACACAAACACACACACACACACCCACACACCCACACACACCCATATGCCTGTACCTCCTCATGTAAATCTTTGGCTTTTTCAGCACCCTGCTGCTCCTGAAAATCATTTGCATGAACTCCCATAAAAAATCAGATTCTAACATGACAGCACGACAGCAGAATACCCTGGCCAAGGCATGCTGTATATTTTTCAAGCTCTTTGTAAATCAACCACGGAAAATAAAATACGGTATTGAAATTTGACACAAATGATCCTTGTGCCACTTCCGCTGAACTGGCATCCATGAATCAGCCTCCGCAATGCCAGCTTCCAGAAGCTTCTTCTTGATGGCTTTGTGCCGTGAGTCCTCAAGCGTATATAAGTTGAAACAAAAAAGTAGAATGACAAACCAAAAAGTTGAGGTGGTGGCCGTAGAGTTGGTCTTCCACAGCTGCGGGTTGCCCTGGGCCCACTTGATAAAAATAAGGAAAAAGTGTTCAATCCAAATACATCTCACACACTGAACTGAAACACAATCCCGAGGTCCTGGCAGGAACAAACTCCCTTTGCAGGCTCGTGTTCGCAGTAGGGTCCTGAGCACGGTATCAAAAATAGGTTACTACCATTAAAACGGCCAGGCTTATGTTCACCCACAGATCCCTATAAGCACCCAACAGCACCATGATGATCATCTTGTTCTTCTTCACTGGCCACCTTTGACACGTGCAAATATGGCAGCCCACAGGCTTTAACTGTGAATAGTTCACTTGAACTCCATCTCCCAGCCTCAACCTCAACCTCGTACTCGTATTCGCTCTGATCATCCCATGCCTGCACAGAAGAGCAGAAACGAAGTATATACATTTAAATAAATTAGCAGCATGCACGCACAGAAAAAAACATCTTAACAGATCACGTGTTTGCATAGCCATCCAGCCTCATCATCACGGCCACAGTGGTACTGGCTGTGATCCTATGGCAGCATGAAAATGAAATCAAGCTCCAAACTATTAAACATGAATTGGCCAAAACCTTTCTTTTAAATCTGTAGCTGGCCTCCCAGGGTTTGTCATCCACTTGCAGTGCACTTGAATCCTGCACCTGCACAGTTTCAGCTCATAGTCGAACATGTTCAGTTCAAAAACATGGCATGGATATAGCCTCTTCTTGCCAACCTGTAGCCCCTGCTTCATGTGCATCCTCCAGAAAGAAGATGAAACATGCATGGACGTTGCAAAGTTGAAACCAGGAAAAGAATTTACCGAAGAAAGCGTCCTCTTCCAGCCCCATAGCCGGTTCCTGACCAATGAGCCAACTTCAAAACAGGACTGTAATTCAGCTAAAGCATACATGCCACACGTATATAAAAAGCAGGTTCCTCTTCAGATTCAGATCCCGTCCATGAATCGCCGACCTTAACAGCGTTTACATGCCCAACAGAAAATGAGAAATGCATGAATCAAAACCGCACTGTACATGATGTATTACAAAGTGTTTCCAACAAACAGTGTCAACTTTTGTAGAATTTACATGTCTCAGGTTTAGACGGCCGACCATGGCTGACGTTCAGACTGGGCAGGCCATTCCGTTTCCTCAGGCTGATCATCCCAGGGCTCCTCCAACACATGAAGGCATGGAAAGAAAAGGGAAAGGTAAACACAGAATCACCCGAATCCTGCCCTGCAGGGTATCCTTGAAATCCCCAGCAGGCCAGCCATAGCCATGATAGTCCTTGTGCAAATGACGAAGCAAAGTAACGCTATAGATACATACAGATTTGCAAACTACAACATGTTGCCAAAAACAGCATTGTGTCCTCATAGGTTTGTTCCCATGCATGAAATGGCAATTCCTGCACGAATGTCGAACATGTCAAAAACATAATGCACTTTTTTCCAAGAAAAATGAACTTGTTTACACACTGGCCTGGCGGTGGTATTCCCATGACCAAGCGTCCTTGTTTTTGGAACCCACAGCACAGCTAGAACACCAAAGGGTTGAAGCTGCAACTTACAACACTGATCATCGATTTTCTCAACGGGCTTCAGGCTGCAGGAAAACACAGAAGAACATTTCTTTAATGCAGTGTCTACAAGCTGTGGCCCTGGCTTCTGAGTGATCTTTGCCATGCTGGTGAGATTCCCACATCTGGCACAGTAAAGATGTGGAATGAAACCCTTGACTTGTGCTGCAGCAAACACCCAGGAAGCATGTACGAAATTGAGGCGCAAACATCGTAAAGGTTCAGTGACTCAGCGAATCCACAGGGGAATGTAAAACCCCCCTTGGGTGAATGAGACAAAGCCAACAGATTTTAGGCCCCAACCTGCGCACCAGTGGCAGGCCACTCCTGAAACAAAATCCAAAAACAGGTAGTTCTCATGATACTCATGTATTCAGACATGTGATGGACTGTGAATGTATAAAAATGTTGATGCCATATTCTATGTAAGTACATGTCTGCATATAAGGCACAACAAAAAAATGCAAAAAATGCCCACACACAAACACACGCACGCGCACACAGATACACTCGCTTCTCCCAGCCTCAGACTCATCTTGGTAGCCACCGGACTCCTGACGAGCGTGTTGATGAAAAACTTGCTTAAGAACAGGCACATGAGAATGCAGGCGAAATTCAAGCAGCTACCTCGAGGGCAATCAGATCGCTTTTGCAATCTTCGACAAAATTTTCAAACTCCTGCAGCCGCATGTGCTTGACATTAATCTTGCATAATCTTGTCAAGTTCTTTGATACCTCAGCCAAAAAAAGCTTATTGTTTGTTTCATCCCAGTATTTGGTTCACTGTGAGTTACTTCTTTTTCATACTGGTATTCCAAATGTCGCTTTGTAACAGCACTGGAGATGGAGGTTTATAAACTGTATAACCGCTCCTCAGCAGAAAGGCCAGGGGGACGAATCTTAATCTCCTGGCATGTGGTTTCGACAAACTCTTTGGGAAAACACTGACTTATCTTTGATGGAAAATTTCTATACAGCAACAAAAACTTACCCTGACCCTGACATTGCTCCTGAGTGGACGCACCTTCGATCCAATCCTTGCGATTAAGGACATGGAAATCAATGGCAAAGGAGCCCATGTGCAGCTTGAAGGCATGGAAAGAACGTAGGTCCTTGGAGCTTGCCTCCAAACCACTGCATTTCTCTGCCTGCCATGTGGTGGTCACCAGCCAATTTGAAGGACAATTATTGAAACACACATTCTGGTTGATTTCCAATGTGAGAAGCCTCATCATGTGCCCAAAAGGCCGATGCCTCTTCATTGCCCTAAGAACGGTAGAATGGGACATGCACTATCGAGAGCAGGGACGGATTTAATGAAAACACATGTGCACATCTAAGGCAATGGCCCATGGTTGGGTCTCAAGATTGTCCATTGCGTCCTGGTGCAGGACTGGGCTCGAGATCGTGTTATATAACCTGTTTTGTTTGAAAACCTAATCGTTCTGAAAATCAAAGTTGTGATATCAGTCCTTCTTTCGCAGATCCTTCAGGGGTAAAAATGATGGGGCCCGTTGAGCCAAAATCTCACGTGTGATATTCTTCGACATTTTTTGGTTCTATATGTCCCAAATACAATCATATTGAAAAACGTGTATAACATAAATCTATGACTTTATGACATCAACATTGGAGGTGTAGTTTGGCAACCCTGCCTTGACCTTCTTGGCCTTTGCAATCAAGTTCTTAAACTTGGCAGCTTGTTTGTTGATAAATTTTCCAAAAGATATTTCAGGATCTCTGGGGATGGAATCTCTCCCCAATGCCATCACCAACTTTCGGATGACCAGTTTGCAAAGAGCCCTTGTGAAAGTGCGCCCTTGAAAGGCACTGCAAAAGGAAAACAGTTCTCTCATGGCTGATTTCCTGAAAGACCAGCGGGGGAACAGCTCACCCGTTGATGAAATCCTGTCAGCATCTAGCCGTGCTTCCAAGATCTTAGCGATGTTTGACGCCAAGGTGTTTCTTCGATTTTTCAACAAAGCAGCAGGCCCCTGTCCCCATGGTTTACGGGTCGGACTTGAAACAGCACAGACAGAATGCTTGACCCTCGAGCGAACCATGGTAGTTAATAGTGGGGGGACGCCCCTATCAACCCCTCTAATAACCTTGAACCTAAAAAATGGCAGCGATATAGTTCAGCTTAGTTATTTCCATTGGTTAACTTCTCCCTTAGCTTTGAATATTTACCCCAGACAGTTTGGTGCATCTCTGGCGATTGGTAAATCCTCCAGGACCGCGCCTGCCACTGACTGCCGCGCTGCAGTGGCTGACATAAGCCACCATGTGGCCAATGAAAAAAACAACGCTTGGATCTTGAAATTTCATCGACATGTCATGTTGCAGCAACAACAAAAAAACAAAGTTGTCCCACTTTGAATGGCCATGTGGTTGCTTCCAATGGGCATTGTTTGTATAGCTGAAAGCTGCATGCTTCCACTGCGCAGGGCGAGCGAAAGAGGTGATGATGCCATAGAATTTCAAACAGCCCATCACCATCCCAGACTGGAAAAATGTAAATTGGGGTATGTATTCCTCTTTTGTTCCATGGAGTACCAAACGCATGGGAACCAAAGTGATTGTTCCCAACGACATGACTCCAACGTTGGTCATGCTATCCAAAAAGGCAGCTGAATGCCTGTTCCACAGGCCGTTTGCTTTCTCATCTGGGTTCTAATTGATGTGATGTAAATAAATATATATATATATGTATACACATGCGTGTGTGTATAGATGTAACATATACACTAAATGTTTCGTGATATGTGTGCTCGTGGAACTAAATGTTGTAAATATGTATATATATATACATACATAAACTAAAATGTCTGTAAGATTTTACAGATTGTATGCCTACATGTAATACACACACACATATATATATGTTTGTGTGTCTACATATATATAGCTATAGCTATGCAATGCATATATATATATGTATTTGTTTACTTACTTATATGTGCATATACTTGGGGGTGCAGCTTCGATTCTTTAATCCGATATGTAACCTTTTCTTGGTAAGGGCTATATCCCAGCTGTAAAAACATCAATTTCCCCAACTGCACCCCCACCTTTTTTTTTCCACTCCAACGAAGACTGTCAGCCCTGGATAGGGCAACAGCTGAAAAGACTGTCTTGACCACATTCTCATATTGGAATGTTGGGCTGCTTATCTTGCAGCATGAGCTCGGCCCTACTGTATTGCAGGGTCATTGCCCAAGTTGCTTCCAAACAGGGCGCACTGCAACATGCAGACTGTACAGAAGCTGTTGTTGTTGCAGCGGCTCACAGCAGTAGCTGCAGCCCGGGAACACACCTCCACCAGTATATCAACAGACAAGCTCCGATAAAACAAGCCTGTACAGAAGTTTTCTTTTCAGCACAAAGTGCAGAAATATTGAAATGCATGGTGCACAAAGGTGCATCACAGCACATGCATGTCCGTTGTGGTGCACAAAGGTGCATCACAGCACATGCATGTCCATTCTTGCTCACCTACACAGCTATGCATCAGAGTAGCCATATGATCTGAGTAGCACATCAATCGCTATTGTAACTAGACAGCGACCAACCCATGCAACCCGCAAAAAACGATTTATATGACAAACATCGGTTTTTGAGGTGGTTCGAGGAAGTGTGACAATCGCTGTTCATCACAAAACAGCGACCAACCAGAACTCCCAACCAGGTACGGGCCGGAAGTGTGACCATCGCTGTTCATCACAATACAGCGACCACCCAGAACTCCCAACCATGTACATGCAGGCCTAAATGTTGAGCTAGGAAGCACATTGCGGAATGCTATTCTGTTTCAACAGCGACCAACATGAGCCGCTGTTCGACGAAGAGCGAATCGCTTGGTCACTATTCTGTTTGAACAGCGACCAGTGAATGCATCTGCAAAAATCGATTTATGTCTCAAAAATCGGTTTTTGCAGTGGTTCGAACAGCGAGTGTGACAGTCGCTGTATAGCTACACAGCGAACCTCCCAGGATGCAATTTTAAGAAATCCGTCCCGGTTTTCCAGACTAGGGCATCCCTTGCCGTACGTGTGCAAGTCTCTGAACTAGTGACCCCTTCCATATTTGTGTTGACTGTGCAGCATATCGATCTTTGAATTTCCATCAGATCGGACAAGCAATATATTGATTCATGACTCAATGCATCACTTCATTATCTTCATTAAGATCTCTGTAATGATTGCAGTTCAAGCACATGTCACTAATTTGTGCCCAAAGCCAAGATGCTTGTTAGATTTTCCTTGGGTACAGCAGGGAAAAAGTGCACTGGCAGTAGAAGCACCAAAGATCTTCATCTTAAACCGGCCAAGAGCCAGCCTCACCCAAAATAGTTTGCCAAAAAACATGTCAAGGCTCTGCATATATCAAAGAACATCATATGCAGAGCAATGGCAGCCAAGCCCACTGAAAAACATTGATTTATAAGGTGTTCCACGAGATTGACTTATACAGTCGTTTTACCTCTCCTGGGAGTTTATCACACTGCGACAGTTGTTCGAGAAGGAAGTGTGTCATCCGATGGATTGAGGCAAGGTAGTTTCCATAGCTCCTGTGGCCACATTGAAGCACTGTGCGATAGTTGATGCGAGAAGCAAATGCGTTATCCGATGAATCATAGCGGCAAAACTTCGAAAGGTGCAGCTGTGTTTGTTTCTCATGCGCTTGTCTGCACCGGTGTCGTGGGGCAGTAGTTGACAAGCCAAGAGGAACAGGAGCGTTGTAGGCTAAATTCTGCACTGCCCATGGACAGCTGTTTTGTTGCAATTTCAGCGTGATCGCATCTTCTGATACTACCTGCCAGGTACTGACCTCATCGCGTACATGGTCCACGCCGACACCCGCACTCACACACACACACAGACACACACATACACACACGTACACACACACACATACACACACACACAGACAAACACCCACACACACACACAGACAAACACACACACACAGACAAACACACACACACACAGACAAACACACACACACACACACACGCACACGCACGCACACACGCACGCACGCACGCACACATACACGCCCACGCACACATACACGCCCACGCACACACACACACACCCACACACACACATCATCCAAACGCCAGTCGTGGGCCATCCGTTTTCGTGATGGTCTGCGCTGTACGTTTGCGGACACATAATCAATGGTCACGCATCGATTGCCCTTCGCCGCACTTCCTGGCGTGGGGCATCTTTGATCGTGGCCGCACACCACACACACATACTCGCACACACACACACACGCACACCCACACACCTCACCCACAAACACAACTCATCCATACACAACTTACTCACACATACTCGTCCACACATAACTTACTCCACACCAATCCTTCACCATCTCTTTTCTCTTTCTTGCTTACCCCATGCCGTCTTTGCCTTTCTTTTGTTGCTTGTTGGAAGAAGTTGACTTGTGGGGTTATCCGGTCCTTTAATTAAATTTTGATTTGTCGTGCCACCAGGATGGCATGCGGGCATCAAGTGCAGAGGCAATGGATGTTTAATGTGTCGACCTGGTCACGGCTGGAAGCATTTGAAAGAACTGCCTGTTGTCGATTTGATCCTTGATATCTGTTCAGATGGGATGGATCGGGTGACAGGTGCCACACGTGGCGCAGGATCTCAACAGACTGAGGGCGAGGCTCGGCTCGGAGAGAAGGACAGTGACCGGGCGAGGTAAAGTCTGGGGCGGCTGGAAATGGCTGGAATCCCTGGAAATCTGGAAACCATCTGGAAACCTTGGGTCTCCCAATGTCTCCCAAAGTGGATCGTCAGCTCCAGGCGAAGTGGCACTGGCAACGTTCGATCAGAGCCATGCTCACCTCCCACAGGTGCTACGATACTTTCAGCATCTTTCAGCTGTGGTTGGATGTGTAATGTTGAAATATGTTGAAATCATGTGAAATCGGAAGAGAAATCATTACAGTATCATACAATATCTATGTCTATACGGTCAAAATCAGCGTAGACTAATTGTATCTAATTGTGAAGGAGGGGAGCAACAAGTCACAGAACATACATAAAACACGGTAAAGCGATAGGGGCCCAAAAATAGGCACAGATATTTGTCATTATTCTTTTCTTTCTTTGCCTTCCTTTCCGGTTCTTTCTATTTATCTTCCTTCCCTTTTCTTTGCTTGCCTTTTTTCTATCACTTTTAGTTGTATTGTTTCTTTTCTTTTCCCTTCTTCTTTCTTGTTCCGTTTGTTTGATTTGTCCCTTGGCTTCTCATCGTTTTGAAACCAAATGCAATTTATTTCTGAATCGAATCTAGATTATCTGAAATCCAAGTCTGACTTCTGCTTATCTCCTTTCTATTCAATTTGTAACTTGTTCTTTCTTTGCTTTCTTTTCCTTTTCCTTATTTCCGTTTTCACTTTACAATCTTATTCCCCACCTGCCAGGTGAGGGTTGTTAGATTTTATGTCAGTTGCCTGGTCCTCCTCGTCCTCCTCCTTCTCCTCCTCGTCCTCCTCCTCCTCCTCCTCTCGTTGTCCTCCTCGTCCTCCTGCTCAACTGCGACTCGCGATCCACAGTGTTCTCTGTCGGACCTCCACCACGACCATCCACGCCCAGTGTTCCCTGCCGGACCTCAACCACGACCATCCACGCCCAGTGTTCCCTGCCGGACCTCAACCACGACCATCCACGCCCAGTGTTCCCTGCCGGACCTCACCCACGACCATCCGCGCCCAGTGTTCCCTGCCGGACCTCAACCACGACCATCCGCGCCCAGTGTTCCCTGCCGGACCTCAACCGCGACCATCCGCGCCCAGTGTTCCCTGCCGGACCTCAACCGCGAGTATCCACGCCAAAAGATATGCCACATAGAGTGCCAGAAGATATGCCAGATAGAATGTTAGAAGATATGGCAGATAGAATGCCAGAAGGTATGCCAGATAGAATGCTAGATAGAATGTCAGCTAGAATGCCAGAAGATATGCCAGATAAAGTGCCAGAATGTTTGCCAGATAGAATGCCAGCAGATTTGCCAGATAATATGCCAGAAGATATGCTAGATAGAATGCCAGATGTAATGCCAGAAGATTTGCCAGATAATATGCCAGAAGATATGCCAGATAGAATGCCAGATGGAATGCCAGAAGATATGCCAGAACATATGCCAGAAGATATGCCAGAAGATATGCCAGAACATCTGCCAGAAGATATGCCAGAACATCTGCCAGAAGATATGCCAGGAAGAATGCCAGAAGATATGCCAGATAGAATGCCAGATCGAATGCCAGAAAATATGTCAGATAGAATGCCAGAAGATTTGCCAGTAACAAAATGTATAAATGTCATGGTGGGGATCACACGAAGTAAAGTAATTTTTTATTATTCCACTTTTTTTTCCATTTTTTTCCTTTCATGATCATCATGGTATGCTAAGTTAATCAACATTAGCGATAACCTAGCGATTAGCCAGACACGTTTGCTGAAGACAGGCCCCCGGAGCAGGGATGGACCCAGTTGATTCCATCAAGTTTTTTTGCCTCTTACTGTAGTCATGCTGCTAACAAACAAGGACATTATATAGATTTAAACTGATTTAAATAAAGGCAACAAAAAGAACATCAATTAAACTTTGCTAGCTGACCTGGTCCATGAAGCTGGTTTGGAAATCTTTGAACACAATTCCGCTGCATTCTTGTATTATCTAGTGTTGATTTGAACAGAACACTGTAAAGCGATAGGACCCCGAAAGCGAGAACCTATATTCTTGCACCAGGCGTACGCAATTGATTTTGACGGCGGCTCATACATATAGAATCATATAGATAAATATTATATATATACATATTATATTATATATATTATACATATTCATACAAATATTAGAATTAGAATATATGCTATTATATACTTGCATGCAATGATTCACTGCACTCTTGCCCTAAACCAGGTGTTGGGATGCAGACGGCCAGGTGGGAGCAGTTTAGGAACAGTCAAGCTGTGACGTTTGCTGCGACCAGAGATGCTGTGCAGGGCATCTCCCAGAGAAGGTGGGCGACCTCCAAGACCACAAGGTGGGCAAAAAACGATTTGGAACACATTGGACGGAAAAACAACGGCAAAATCGGCAAGGTAAATTGAAGGGGGGGATCATTTTGTGTTCAATAATCCTACATCCAAGGCGAGACTCACCATGATACCATGTCGATTCACAACGTCACAGTGTGAAATGACCCAAAGTTGCCGTTGCTTTGAGCTGCAAGGTACACCTAGGGAAGGTGCTCCTGCAGGCTGACTGGAAGCGTCATTCTGAGCGAATCAACAAAGCTCTGGTTGTGTACAAAGCAGGAGATCTCAGGAGGATAAATAGGATAAACAGAGAGAAGAGAGAACAGGTCTGTAAGAAGTGTAGGAATGTGTAGGAAGATTCCACATGAAAACAGAGAGACACCGAGAGCTGCGAAGAGTTCCGATTTTGCTTTGTGGATTGAAGCTCGAAGTTTGCAAAGCTTACCCTCCTGATCCATCCTGATCCTGCATAAACGCGGCCTGCGCGGCCTGTGCGGCCTTGCTCTCGCAGCAGCTGGTGAGACTTGCGCAGTGGATAGCCCGCAACGTCGAAGCCAGTTTGTGATGGTGAAGTTGCTCACACGAAAAAGCACGCAACCTCCAACAGTCCAACAGTTATTTACAGCTTACCATGGCTTACCATCCTGCAATGGTTGGCAAATTGCCCCAAAGATGTATCGGACTTGAACAGTTGAGGGACCAACAGATCTTTCAGTTTTGCCATGCCATGCCTCCTTGCGAGATCTTGCAAGGACTTCTGGGATCCGGTGACCTTTATGCCCCGTGGAAGTTCTTGGCCTAGTCTCCCCCTGGAGCTCCGAAGGACTTGTTGCTTTTCCCCACCCGTTCAACCGCTTAAGGCCGAGAAAGAGAAAAGGTCGATGATCTATTGAAGGAAGGGGATGCAGGGTCTTGTAGAGCCTTGATACTTGGTGCTTGCAGCTAGTAGATGTTAGGTTGACGGTATCATTTCTTTCTTGATGCTGCCGAGCATGAAATTTCAATGTTTGTGAATCGCTTTTGATGACAAAACACAGAGAGGCTCTGAAGCCCAGCGCAGGACGATGACGAGAAGGAAGACCTCAGCAAGTTTGGGCTCTCGCCTACAATGTCCGCTGCAAGCGGCTTCTTTATGTTCGTTGCTCCCGAGGCTGTGAATGCCGAACAACATTGAACAACTGGTTTACAGTACTTAGTTTTCTTCGACATACTTGCGCCATTTTGAACATACACACACAATCTCTCACACACACAGTCAAAAGGCCAAGGATGACGACATCGAAACTGGCCATGAAAAAGAAGCACCTGGTGCTGCTCCATGGAGGTGGGAATCAGATCATCCTTTGAGGCAACTGGCTGCGAATATCTGCGAATCCAATCCTCAGGATCTTCAGGAACATGTCTTTGGCCACCACCATCTTCTGGATCCTTGCTGGGGTGCAAAACACAGTGTGCAGCGATATACTGTAGGTGTTGATGTGGAGCGAATCAACGTAAGACTTCACACATTTTTTTGCGTTCAAGATCGTGCTAGTGTCAAGAGGACTTGCAAGATTGAGCTTTGTTTGAGTCTGTCTGAGGTCTGGTCTTTCATGACTGTTGCTATCCCTGAGCTCATTGATGTCGGCTTGGCCTTTGAGGCCAAGAGAATCGGTGCTTCCGCATCTGTTGTTTGGCCCACAGGCCTCATCATGCCTTATACAAAATCTCGATTATCTCGGGCGTCATTTCGGAGACGGTGTTTGACTGCTCTTGACAGGATGAAATTAGCGCAGAGTCGAAGCATCCGCAATTGTCACTTGACAGTCGACGGTTCCACACAAAGATGCTTATCACGAGACACATACATCGGCCTCAGATTGTCAATGCCTTTATTTTTCCCAAGTTCTTGTCAAGATTGAGGGAACAAGACTAAAAATCTCAGGCACTAGCCATTGCTTGCAAAATAGTGAGCCATTTGAAGTGAATCGGGACAATGCCCGCCGAACATACAATTGCTTCTCTACACATGGCAGACGTTGATTTTCAATCATCTCTGGGTTGAGAAATCATACTAAATTGTGTATGCGTCCTGATGTTTGATATCAAGATCTGTTTTTGCAAAGGATCGAACGCAGCGGCGGCCTTGCACCTCTCCATGAATCAGGCCTGCAACTGATGGCAAAAGGGAGGCAGTCCTAGAGCCAGCAAACACAGAACTGTGCGGGATGTGAATCTTTGTTTCTTGTTCACCGCAAGACTCAGACTGGCCAAGAGGAATCAGCTGTACGAAGCGTGAACCCCGGCAGGTTCTTGGGGTGAGCGTCGATCTTCCTTGCTGGCCTTACGCACCTGTCTCAGTGAGAAATCAGTGCAGATATTTCTTGATGTTTATTACATCTACATCCACCATCATCCACCGTTTTTTTTCGTTTTCTTGCTCTATCCTAGTTCAGGTACCTCAGTGAAGTCTGGCAAGTTTCAACCAATCAACGTGACCTGGCCTTATCCGGGCATCAGGCCAGAAGCTCAATCTCAATTCTCGTATATTAATGTACTGTATATCTATTATTCAGGTGACATCAGGTGACATTTTAACAACACAAGTTGCTCCAGAACTGACTTACAGGACCGACCATCCTTGTATCTTGTCGTGTTATCTTGTCGTGCAAGGCCGACTGGTTTGTCCTGTGATGTCCGTGGCCAACACTTGCTGGTGAGAGACCTGGGACATCCTGGGACCAAGATATTCCAAGAGTTTCCCGCTGCGGACCATGCAGTGCTTTTGCTGTGCGGCTTTCAAGGTTACTGATGGCTTGTCCACCTTCTTTGCCTCTGTGAACGAGGAGGTCGGTGACTCTACTCACGCGCGGCATGTTGCAAAAGACCTAGGGTTTCTACTTTCTACATTTTTCATCATTTTTCTACCTTCTGTTTGGAGCTTCTCAGGTTCCAGCTGAAAGCAAAGATACTGGAATGAGGCAGCTGCAACTTTCTTCATCTGCTTTCAAAGGATGTTAAATTCAGGTTAAATTCAGTCCTTTCAACAAGATTTGAAAGGCTTTCATGTTCGAAAGCATTCGAAAAGCGGCTGTGCTGCAATTTGCATCAGGCTACGCCACAAAGCCGACAGCTTGCTCAGTGCAAGTTTCCAACAGGCTCCAGGGGCTATGATGGAGGGCTCTGGGAGGTCAAGCCTGAATGCAAAACAAAGAACGCACATGGGTACAAGATGCTGACTCGTTGGTGACCCTTGGTGGAGAAGCAGACTTTTGAACACTTAAAACATACTTAACTATACTTAACTGACTATATTTTAACTTTTGTATACGATTGTATACGTGTGTCTTAAAGTTGTATTGGCTTGGCGACTTTGACCGTTTGATCGTGTGCAATTTGGGCTACCGGGCCAGGCTGCTCCTTGTGCCGCTCTCCTGGGTGAGCGCTTGCAGGCGGGGGGTGAAAGTGTTCCCGGGTAGATCTGGGTAGTGGGATTAGTGGAGCTGGTCATAGACATTGACCCAGCATTTTGACCTTTGCATTTCAAATCATTTCAAATGCAACACAATATACATAACATGAAGACCACGAAGATAAGAATAAGTATAAGAGTAAAATAGCATGTCCCAGTCCAGCCTTACCTCTGTAGGAGTTCTTCTTGGAGTAATTTGCTTTGCTCTTTCCAGGATACTGCTTTGGCATGCTTCGAGAATACCACTGCCAGTTGCGAGGTGCTCTGCCATGGATGTTAAAGTTTGAAGTTATTTGAAGTTGTAGAAGTGTAGTTCCCAGTAGTTCCTACATTATGCATTGAACAAATGCTGAATATATTTCGAAAGTACAGGTGAGAAGCCACGGAATAAGGACGCTGAAGTCTGATCATCAGGCGCTGGTGCTTCACCAACAAGGGCGGCGTGTGGCGTCTTGCCACGTAGAACATGGAGGCCAGAGACTGGCTGTGGCCACCACCTGACGAAAAAAGGATAAAGCTGCCCACAATTGATTACACGACTTGTCACGAAAGCTAGCGTCAGCTAGCTGGAGTCTTCTTGCTTTAGCAAGTATTGGGGGGGCTGCTCAAGGACATCACGTGATTTTTCACGCGAAAGGGGGGGACCCCCCCCCTCACCCACCACCACCACCATCACCACCATCACCACCATCATCATCATCATCGTCATCATCATCGTCATCATCATCGTCATCGTCCTCTCCATCGTCCTCTCCATCGTCCTCTCCATCGTCCTCGTCCTCGTCATCATCATCATCATCATCATCATCATCCTCGTCGTCGTCGTCGTCGTCGTCGTCGTCGTCGTCCTCGTCATCGTCCTCGTCATTGTCATCGTCATCGTCATCGTCATCGTCATCATCATCATCATCATCATCATCCTCGTCATCATCATCATCATCATCATCATTCATCATTCATCATTCATCATTCATCATTCATCATTCATCATTCATCATTCATCATTCATCATTCATCATTCATCATCATCATTCATCATCATTCATCATCATCATCATCATTCATCATCCATCATCCATCATCCATCATCATCATCGGCATCATCATCATCATCATCATCATCATCATCATCGTTATTCAATGACATTCCATCACTATTGGCAATTATTGTCATTATCACGAAAGCTAGCGTCAGCTCGCTAGAGTCTTCTTGCTTTAGCACGTATTCCGGGGCTCCCCAAGGACATCACGTGATTTTTCCCGCGCAAGGGCCCCCCTCTGCCCCCTCCCCCATATATATCATTGTTATATATCATATATCAATATATCATTGTTGCATCCTCGTTGGGACGAACAATGCCGCGACACGATGATGACAGTCCCTCCGCAACTCACCTCTTCCCTTCCTTCTTTCTCCTACCCCGCTAGCTTTCGTCATCCACCCCCGGCCTCAAGTAGATTACATAATGATATCATGATGTTGCTGCAATTACATCTCCATTCCAATATTTAATATGATGCAACATGAAAACCACATCAGTAGCAAGCAACTTCCAACCATGACGCGCCGAACGTCCAAAATTGCTGGTGTTGGTATTTGGGGGAACTTAGCTGAGCTGTTTTGTACCCCAGTAGGGGACGAGATGCTGCCAGTTCAATCTTGACAAAAAGCTTGAGCCATGCGTTCAATTGTGGCCTCCAACGGCTGAACCCTTTTAACATCTTTTAACCACCCTAACAACCAAAGTCCTAAAAGCATACAAAAACCATCAAACATTTAAAAGATTCTGAAAGCTGACATTACCCTAGTACAAAGATGTAAAAAGGATGTGTGGCCGACCCTAGTGCTTTTGGGTGTTTACGCTTTGCTCTTACTACAGGTTGTGCAACCATCCATGTTTGATATCTTTGGGAAAGTGATGGAAAGTGCTAGATGCCGTCCGTGGCCTTGATGCTAGGAAGCTCTAGCCTGTCTGTGGCGTCAGCATGGATGACTGGATTGCCGAGCACTTGATCATTTTGGTCAGAGTGGATTGAGGGGGAAAATGGGGAATTAATACTGCAATCTGGAAACACACATTTGCCATGTTTGGCTGCTGTCATGGAGCACATTTGTGGTCCTACCAGTCTTGGTGAATCAGCACCTGTCGCAAGAAAAAAGTTGCTCTCCGTACACCTCCTCAACTGTGGCGACTGGTAAATGAAATTAAATGAATGAGAGTCCCTTATCAGGTCAGTACAGCATCCGGGTTGAAAGCAGCTTCTGCATGTTTTTGCCATGTCCGTTCCACCATGTGTTTTATGCCAAAGAAATTTGTTGTGGAACGTTTAATTTAGACGCCCGACTGTGTCCCACATCCGGTACAGCATAGAGATCATAGACACCATGAGGTCCCACGACTGTGCCATGTTACATCGTGTTCTCACACTTTGAAAAAGACGGCACTTTTCCAAGGCAAACAGCGGAGCCTGAGAAGGCCGGAGCCGCAGATGGATTAGATCCACGCAGAGCTGGAGCACAAGGAGCACAGCTGCACTGCTCTGCTCAGGCCCTTTTTGTCATGATGGATCCTGGGTGCTTCAGCTCCAAAGGCTGGCTCGATTGCGCAGATAAAACATCATGAAACATCATGAAGCGCCACTTCCAGAACAGTCTGTCAATAGATGATCTGATATTGAATGATATTGACATGTATTGACATGTATTGACCTTGCACTGCTTTCAGCTTACATGTGCAGTGTGTAGCCTTGTCAATTACAAGTATGTGGTGTGCCTTGTCGTGAGAGTTGTGTGATAAGCTTGGCTAAGTTGCTGGAAAGCAATTGAAAATTGTGATATGTGTGATGCAGCCAGGCTCTGATTTGATGGGTCCGAGCTGCACATCTGTCAATCCGGCATGTTGAAGGATTCTCCCATATTCTCCCAATATCTCCCAATGTTAATCGCAAGGGTGCATTTGAAAGTCTTGTTTCCACCAGTTCATTTCAATATATTTCAATTTTTAAAGCAAAGATTGTTTAGGCGGATTTGTTGCAACAGGTTGGTACATCTAAGAGGCGCTCAGCACGTCTTCAGCGTGGGGCGAAAGGAGCCAATCGAATTTCACGTGGAGCTACATGTGTTGACGATAGGTGCTCGGCACCTGGATGTCTTCCCGTTTGCACGCATCATGATGGCTGTCAACTTGCAAAATATCTCAAAATATCTCGTGTATAGGCCATGCCTTTCGCTTTGGCTACGGTTTCAGGAGATGACTTGGTGCCAGTTGACGTCATGGAAGAGAAGGCCGGAAGAAAGCTTGAACTTACAAGGGTTGCACAACAATATATAAATCTGTTATTTTAAATGTGTGCATTCATACTACATTCCACTCTTACTTGCATCATGCCTTATTCATGTTTGAAAAGGTAACGAATTCAATTCTCTGCAATTTCCTCTTCCTCCTCTTATGTGTTGAATCTCCCGCACTGCCCGTTGCTCCCCATGTTGAGTTCAGATCCGGCTAGGAAGCAGATCCTCTGCGCGCACAGCCCAAAAGCATGCGCTTGCTCACCGAGAGGTCTTGGACTCAGGTGATACATGGTGACACTCAGACGCTCAGGTGACCCTTCGGTGTCAATGTGTGAATGTCTCGAAAGAGAAAGAAGATGAAAGAAGTCTAGGTGCAGACACAATCGGCATACTTGGACATGTTCATTCATGTTCCAAACTAACTACGAAATTGTTTTGCTTGTGAAAGTAGCTACAAGCACGCCAAGGTATCTTGGTGTCTTGAACGCACATGACAAGACTTTGGAGCTTTTGGACATGGACAACAGTCGCTTTGCTGCATTCACGGGGTCATGCCGAGTTGCATGGGCTGCCAGAGTTTGGTAGTTGGACTAGTGCCCATCAAGCACTGTGTCAAGGTGAAGCTACATCTGCTGAAATGCCGTTGAAGACCGACATGCTGGGGACCTTGTTACTGCTTGGTATTGCTTGGTTCTGCCTGGTACTGCAGGCCAATGCCAGGTCTGAAGTTGGGCATCTCATGTGTCATCACATTTGTTTTTCTAAGGTCCTTGGAAAGCTTTTGCGTAAGTGCGGACCACATCTTTCTTTTAGGAAGTGGCCCTCATCCCAACTTGTCGGGGGCTGAGTGAGCTTGAGTGATGACATCGGTGGTTGACATGGCGTTGTCCAGGCTGAGACTTCCATTGAGAACTCTGAGCGTTTGAGCCTTGAGCAGTGTCTTTCCAGGACGTCTTGGATGATTTGGATGTGCCTTACAGAGAATCCACAGGGGTGCATGGATTGCTAATTCAACTCTTTTCAACTCTGTTGTGCACTTGTATCACGATGCAAATAAATTCATATGTAAATTCTCTGTCTTGGTCCAATATGGATCTTTGGGATTCTTTGGGCACATCAACCATTCAGTGGGACATGAAGTGTCGTGAAAGGTCTGATCGTGATCTCACTGGTGGAAGCTTACAAACCATATAAGAAAAAAAAGACATGGGCGCTAAAGAAGGACCTCAGATAAGCAACCACCAGCACCTCGTGGTAGTGCTTCTCTGGGATACTCCTCAGATCGCGCAAAGGTAAAAAGAATGGGATGTTTCAGGGATCTGCAGGGTGTGCTCAGGCTTTGATTGTCGCCGAGACTGTACAGACGCACAAATCGAATGCACAAATTGGCGTGATGACTGCTATATTGACTTGTTGAAGTGCATCTAACTCCAAACATATTCTGATATATTCTGGTTTGCAATGCCTGGTGAGAAAGGCGGGAGTACTGTAGCTGATGATGGTTGCTCCGCACCACTTGACTGCGTACTGTACGATAAGGGCATGTGACGCATTGACTTTCAACGGGGTACGCGGGTGCGAAGTCTTTGAGGCTCAATGGAGTTTCAAGCTTGGCACTTCCCATGAATGACAATTACTTGGCAATTGAGTCAGTTTCTCCAGATTCCGGAACATGTGGGATAGATCGGCCCCTCCAACCATTCCCGATTCACAAACACCGAAAACATCGGAAGACCTTTGAGCCCAGTTGTTGGTTGTTATGCACGACCTTAACATCCTTAACCCAGACATGATCCACGCAGTTCCCACCCTTTTAAACATGTGAACAGCCCTTTGCATATTTGCTGTACATTGTCTACAGGTAAATGCACCAGGGTCAATTGGACCACTTCGCCGTAGCCGATTTTGCTGTGACCTTCACCATGGGCTTCAAGTATGTCTTCGTTCCAGCCTCTCCCAACGATGATATGCAGGCCTTTTGGAAAGCATAGAAACCGAAGAGAATTGAGTCCTTCTTGTTTCCCAATAGCGGGCAAGATGTTAACAAATTTGATCCCTGTGGCACTATTTGGATCATTTTGGATCAAGTTGGCTGGGACCCGACCGACACCATCGGCTGAGTTGATTCAACAGGGTGACCAGATGACATGGCCCTTCACGAGACTTGCCAGGAGATGGAGTACGAAACAGACATCTCAGAACTCGAGAAGGCCACAGCCAACATATGCCAACATCATTCAGATTATCCAAATTGTTTTGACTGTGTGTCTGTGTGTCATTGGAAGTTCAGATTCAAAGCAACATAAGAACTGCACAAGATCTGCCAGGATACGTTCAGAACTTTCGTCGAAAACTTTTTTGCTGCTGCTAGAAACTGAGCTGTATCTTTACATGAGGCTCCTTTGACTCAATGCTGAAGATACAGGTCTTAAACAGCTTTTGATTATACAGGTGCCCGCAAGGAATCATTTTGCTTGTCAGAAATAGTGGACTTGGTGCTGTGATAGGGGCACCATGGGGCACCACTCTGCACTACTGACCAACACTGAAGACATTCAGATTCCAGCAGCCAAAGGGAGAGGCTTGTGCTTGGCTGCTTGGGACACGACACTTTGACGCGAGATTTGGGTTGTGTGCATGAATTTCGCCCAGGCTGGTCAAACTGCAGACAGAGAGATTCTCTTGTGCGCCTCTGAGCTACCCTGAATAAAGTTACCAACTCTGAACTGGCCTTATCAAATTGAGTTTGATTTTGGACCATTGGACATCCAGTCAACACTTGGCAGTTCATACTTGATTCAAGCACTACCTGCTATCTCAGAAGCGCCAAAGCATATGCTTCCGGTGGCAGGAATCAGTTGAAAGAGAGGACTGGAGTGGATATCAAGGAGACCAACCAGCAATTTTTGGTATGAACTCTTAGATGAGTCTTGGGGATTTAGCCGTTTCTTCTACCATTTTCATCCATTTTCAGCCTTTCCTGTGAATTAATCATAGGCAGATTTGCATTTACTTTGAAAGGAGAAGGCCGACAAAGGCGAGATGGACGATAAAGTCGCGTGGCTCAGACCAATTGTTTTAGACTTTAGACACCTATCCATAATCTTCAGATCCAAAGCAAACCTGGAACAAATCAAGACTTCAGACAACATGAAATGCCTTGCAAATGAGTATTAACTATTTAATATTGTTAAATATGTTCCACTTCTTGCTGCAAACCAGCATTCACCAGCCAAGGATTGAAAGACTGATCTGACATGATTTTACGATTCCATGTATTTTCATTTTGCACAGTTGCTGAACCCTGTGAGCCTGTGAGCATTTTGACTATGCTCTTGTTCCTAGATGTTGGACAAACTCCTTTCGGCCAGCAGCGTGGAGATCTTTCCAGTACAGCTTCCCACCAAGGAGAATAGATTGAGTAGTTTGCTGTTGCTGCATTTCCCATTTCATGTGACGAGGTTGTGTTGACGTTTCTTACTCTTGGTAGGAGACTGGCTTTCAAGCTGTTAGCGTGTTTGCGGCCCCAGTGAAGTGGTGTTTGACTCTGCTTTGACAAAAGTCTCAGTAACTCAGTATGTCTCAGTTCAAAGAAGGAATTCATGCAGCCATTTTAAAGGTATTTGGATGACAAGGGTGTTGCCAAAAACCTAGAGGTGCGGATGCACATTGCGGCTTCCAGTGGACGAAGTTTTGCCAGCAGCTAGATCCAAGGGCTGGAAGTGGTGCTTTGATACTGCCACGGTCAGGAAAATGTCCGAGTCTCTGGTTTAGTTCAGGATTGGAGCTCAGTTCCGGAGCATTGGAACAATATTGAACAATGGCGAAATGATATAAATCATGAGATATCATGAGATTGAACAGAAGTCAGTCGTTGAAACTTCAGGCCTGTGGCTATCCCGGACAGACCATCAGAGGTGACTGCTTCATTGGCCGCGTCTTCGATGACACTGAGGCAAGACCTTGTCAGATCTAGACACCTGGAATCACCTGGATCTCCGTTAGTTTTTTTGTCGCGTGAAAAGGTGTGAATTGCAGTTGTGCTTTGAGAATGCCACGACACCTAAGCCACATAGCGCCCCAGAAGATCCAGAAGCACCGGTGCCTTTGATTTACGCACCATGCCCAGGATGAATGGAGGCGCATGGACTTCTGCCTCAAGGCCTGTGAGCGTCCAATGCGTCCGTTTCGATCTGCAGAACACTTGTGTTCAGGACTGCAGTACGGACGCGGAGTGGATTCACACAACCAAACTGCAACGAGCAAACAGGCCTGGAACATACTAGAATAAAGATTTCTTGTGTCAGTCTGGTCCGCATCAGAGCTAGATGAGATACTTTAAGTATAATTATGTGTATTTTTATATATAATATACAATCTATATGTATCTATATATATATATGTATCATTTTGAATAGGAATATTGTATATGCATGTATATATATATATGTATGCATCGTGTTTGGCAGGCACTGGGTGTGCATGATCATTAGGGTGAGTATGTAAGCTGATGAATCCATTTTGGATCAAGTCTGAGCCAAACTGGCTTCATCGTTCTTTCTTTTGTTCGGGGTACCCACGCCACTTCTAGGGAGTGACCCTAGGGTCGGTGGTTTTTCGTTCCTCTACTAGGGCGTTGCCCTAGGGTATAGAGGTTACGAAGGTGGGGGATACCCTTCCGATGTCAAGGGCCACCGTTGTCGTTCGGCCTGGCTGGAATGAGGCTGCCCATATCGATGCCGAGTTCTTGCATGCGGTCGCCTACTACGAGTTCAAGACGCATGTGGAGGGCCTGCTTCAGCGGGGCCTTATTTCTCAGGTCATCCGGTTGTGGTCGTCAGTGTGCCAGATTGACAACTTCCCCCCTCCTCTTTGGGAGTGGAGGGACTTCCCTTTTTCAGACGGTCACCCTGAATGGAAGAGAACTGTAGGAGATGCACTGAGTATTTGGGAGGATTCAGGTTTCCTTGGCTTGGTACATGGAACAGTTCAGCTGTCTTGGATCTGCCCGGGAGTGACCCGCGGCTGGAGTGGCAATTTTACTATGATCGCCTGGGCGAGGCGAAGCTGGATCTGCTGCTCATTGAATCGCCGCGGACCCATTGGACAGCGAGGGATTTTGCGCCGGACAACATCTTCGACCTGGTTGTCTTCATCGAGCACAATGCTGAGAGCATGGTCGACCTCGTCGAGTTGTGGAATGTCTGGAGAACTTGGCAGTCTCCGGCCTAGAGATGTCTATTTGTTGCATGGTGACGCTGAGGTACACTCTGCAGTTTCAGGTCCAGCACGGACGCTCCACATCTTGGCAGCGGTTGTGTCGGGGGTCGTCATGGCATATCACTCAGGAGCTTATGCAGTGCAAGCTGCAAGCGAAGCTCCGCCCTGTGCAGAGACTGCAATGGAACGGGTGGCTTCGACCAGGGTGGCACAGTGGAGGTCTCAATGGGGGTTGCCAGACAATACGGACTTTGCGTATGCCTTTGCATCCTATGATAGCGCTGAGGCACATGGAGGACACCATGTGGCTGATGTGTGGCTTCAAGCACGTTTCAGCAGCATGGACGAGGATCTTATTCCGCAGGTGGCAGCAGCCGCAGAGAGCTCTGGATCGAAGGATAGGCCGGCTAGCTGGCCTGCGCTTAAGGCATCGTTGCTGAAGAAGAGCAAGATGGTTCAAGCTCTTCGCATTCGTCCTGGTTCAGATCAGTCTGAACAAGTGTTGCTGAGAGCTGAAGCCTTGCGGAAGGCTTTCTTCCAGGCCAAAGTGATGCTTTCTTCCCTTACACAGGGAACTGTGAGTACAAGCTGCATGGACATGAGCCGAGGGTATGAGCTTTGGACAGACTGTCCTAATAGCCCCACCGGTTTTCATGAGGTAGCTTACACAGGGATCTGTGAGTGCAGGCCGCATGGACATGCGCCGAGGGTATGAGTTTTTGACAGACTGTCCTGTTTAGTCTCACCGGCTTTATGAGGTAGCTTACACAGGGATCTGTGAGTGCAAGCTGCATGGACATGAGCCGAGGGTATGAGTTTTTGACAGACCGTCCTAATTAGTCTCATCGGTTTTCATGAGGTAGCTTACACAGGGATCTGTGAGTGCAAGCTGCTGGACATGAGCCGAGGGTATGAGTTTTTGACAGACTGTCCTAATTAGTCTCACCGGTTTTCATGAGGTAGCTTACACAGGGATCTGTGAGTGCAAGCTGCATGGACAGGAGCCGAGGGTATGAGTTTTTGACAGACTGTCCTGATTAGTCTCACCGGTTTTCATGAGGTAGCTTACACAGGGATCTGTGAATGCAAGCTGCAGGGACATGAGCCGAGGGTCTGAGTTTTTGACAGACTGTCTTAATTCGTTTCACCGGTTTTCATGAGGTAGCTTACACAGGGGTCTGTGAGTGCAAGCTGCATGGACACGAGCCGAGGGTATGAGTTTTTGACAGACTGGCCTAATTAGTCTCACCGGTTTTCATGAGGTAGTTTACACCATTGCCCGCAGCATTCATCTTCTGCGGTTGGGAAATCATTTCAGTGGATTGGGTGCTCGACAGCAGTCACGATTTGTCCAACGGCCTCAGGTAGCAATCATGCACGATCAACTTCAATCGGTTTGCTTTATAGCCGCTGCCCTGGATTGTTCTACCAAGAGCCGAGCCAGGGAGATCCCCCGTGTTTTTGGGGATATGGCAGGAGCCTCACGGGAGTTACCCGTAGTGTTCTGCTGTCAAGTGTAGCCAAAGCGACGGGTATTTCCTTTGGGCCATTCTACATTCTTCAGGAGTCTTTGGCGTTAGCATTCAAAAAGCTCTATTCAGGCGATTGGTTGATGGTATGTCATCCCCTTTGTTGAGTACCTGGTGAATCAGCACTCGCTCGGCTTGTACATTCGATGGAGACATCAACAAGGGCTCGACATGGAAGGTAGTTGCAATTCAGTTTTCGCAGCCCCTCTATGTGCGGCAGCAGATGAGGACAGCTGAAGGTCAGCAAGTGGGCGCTATTGATCACACAGCTGCATTGGCCCCACTGCTGCCCTTCCAACTTCAGTCAGGTCAACACTTTGAAAGCTTCTTGAAACGCAGCTTACAATCACGGCCCACTGAGGGGCTTCTCATTTTGGATGATGATCTTCGTTTTGCTGCTTCACTCTCAAGCCTGCCAGGAGTTGACCTGAGCGAGCTGAGGAAACGTGCGATGGGTCTCTCGGCTGAGATGAAACGACGCTGGGGCACGATGACAGCGCACGTGCGGAGCAACCAAACAGAGGCTATTCGCACAGCAACAGTGCAACGAGATATGGGCTTCACAGCCATCTTTTTACTGTTGGCCAATTGGGGCGATGTGACACTGCCAGCCGGCCTTTGCATGGGGCTTCCAGCAGTGGGCTATGCACCCCCATATGGTATTTTTCCAGAGCAGGAGGCCACCCGATTGACACGGGGAAACAGAGGGTGATTGATGATGCCTATGTTGGCCTACAATTTGAGCGCTCCAGTGACGCCAACAAGCTTACTCTTTGCTCAGCCCTGCGACCAGCTCAGCATCTGCAGTATGCATATGCCTATGGAGCACTTTCCATCTGGGATACAGAGGAATGGGAGTCAGGTAGCCAAGACTGGCCTGATGCTTACAGACTTTATCTCATGAGTAGAGACGAAGCTCTATTCTGTGTTGCGGCCTTCTTTCATCACGAATGGCAGCGGTCAGCTTTCATAATTTATACAGGTTTGCTTTTTGGGTCTTCTTTGGCAGTCACGTCCTTCAATCGATACAGTCGCTTTGTGGAAGTTTTGTCACGTCGATTTGCATTCAGTTTGACGTGTTTGCATTTTGATGATGCACATCTGACTGACCGGAAATCTTGCAAAGGTTCAGGTCAACGAGCCATGCAAACGCTCAACACCCTTTTGGGAATCTTCTTTTTCAGAGGAGAAATGCCAGAAGATGCAGAGCTCTGGTACATTTTTGGGATTCGATCCCGATTTCATTCAAGTTCCTGCTCAGGGCACCATTCAGTTTTGGGCGCGCGAGCGCATTGAGCGCAAGCTGCTCCACCTTATGAAGAATGCTGAGGATTCCAGCAAACTTCAACCAGGAGCAGCCGCCAAGATCTATGGCATTGCCACCTTCTTTGAGCTTGGTGTATGGGGACGTCTCGGTTGCGGTGGCCTTGCCCCTATCAAGCGCAGACAACAAGAACACACCTCAGAGTTGACTGAGGAGTTGCGTCCCTGCTTCAATCTGTTGCAAATCTTCATCGCTACCAAATTCCTCAGGCAGATCGAGATCTGGCCGCACGTGGGGCTATGTTTTCTAGCAGCCTCAGATGATGCATCGTAAGGCCCAGGTCAGGGTACGGGAGGATTTCTGGTAGTGTGGCATGATGACCACATACAACAGCGTGAAGCTTTTGTCCCGATCATCCCTCCAATGGTGTGCCACCTTTGGGAACCGGGAGACGAGAAGATTGCCCAACTGGCGCTGCTTCAGGTCCTCTATGCATCGTTTTCACGTCCTTCAGCGTTTCGTGGCCGACGAGGACTTTGGTTCATTGACGATACAGCGGCCAGCTTTCATGATTTACACAGGGATTGCTTTTTGGTCTCCCCTTTGGCCGTCACGTCCTTCAATCGATACAGTCGTTTGGTGGAAGCTTTGTCGCGTCGATTTGCATTCTGTTTGACGAGTTTGTATTTGATGATGCGCATGTGACTGACAGGAAGTCTTGCAAAGGATCGGGCCAGCGAGCTATGCAGTTCATGCACAGGGCATCATTCAGTTTTGGGCACGTGAACGCATCGAGCACAAACCGCTCCATCTCATGAAGCATGCGGAGGATTTCAGCAAACTTCAATCAGGAGTAGCTGCCAAGATTTATGGCGTTGTCGATTTCTCTGAGCTTGGTGTATGGGGGCGCATTGGTTGTGGAGGCCTGGTCTCTATCAAGCGCAGACAACAATAACGCATCTTAGAGTTAACTGCGGAGTTGCGTCGATGCTTTGACTTGTTGCGTATCATCATTGCTATCAAATTCTCCAGGCAAATTGAGATCTGGCCACATGCAGGGCCACGTTCTCTGGCAGCCTCAGATGCTGCATTAGAAAGCCCAGGCCAAGGTACAGGAGGATTTTTGGTAGTGTGGCATGATGACCAGTCAACAGCGTGAAGCCTTTGTTTTAATCATCCCTCCATTGGTGTACCACCTTTGGGAGCCGGGAGACAAGAAGATTGCCCAACTGGCGTTGCTGCAAGTTCTCTATGCCTTGTTTTCTCGTCCATCATCGTTTTGTGGCCGAAGAGGACTCTGGTTCATTGACAATACAGCGGCGCTCATGGCTTTGATTCGAGGTCGTTCCGACAACGCAGATTTAGAGTACATGTCACGTTTGATTCATGTCACTCTTTTTGCTCTCAAAGCTGGGTTTTTCTGGGAGTGGATCCCTAGCAAGGCCAACTGGTCAGATGAGATCAGCAGGGACGGCCTTCAGGCAACATGGCATAAACGCCATGGGTTCACCACGCATTTTGCAGTTTTCCCCTTCGAGATTTGGTCTCTACCACTTCCCGCGCTTCTACGGGTTGTGGAGTTTCTCTGATTGCTTTGGGATAGAAGTGCATTGGGAGAGATTCAACCTGTGTAGCCTCCTGAGTTCACAGGAGTGCAGAACAGGGTGTACGGATCCAACCAGTGCTGCTGTGCAGGGGGATACCTGCACAGCGTTCCAAAGCACTATCCTGCGAGGAGCAGGTTGAGACCGCACGAGGAGACTGGAAAGGAAAAAGGCTATGCGGATGTGAACCTGGATAGGTTGACCATATCTAATATCTATGCTTTACATCTCACATCTAATGTATATGTATATTATGGATAATATGGTATAATCGATATGTATATATATATAAATACAACTGTACAGTAATATGAAGTAATTTCTTCTGGTTTGCTGCCACCTTGCATCCTGGGCAGGAAGTCTGGCGACCTTCAAAGCATGGCCAACTCCATTGGGGTCAACAACCCTGTCCATCTGGCCTGGTTTGTCTTCTGCAAAACTTACAAAGAACTTGAGGAAGATGATCTTTGGATATCTTTGGTCAGTTTTTGATCCCAAGATATCCCAAGTCAAGTTGTAGGCAGCTTTCTAATCGGACACCTGAGCTGGTCTTGAGGCACGCATTGATCCGTCTATGCTCGCTGATGCAGCTCCCAAGGGTGAGACCGCAGACTACTCCTGGAAGCAGGCAGAATCCCGAAAATTCCGCGTCCATCCTAGAGCACCACTATGCACCACTGATTTGTAAAGACTTTCCCCAAGGTGAAACTAGGACAGGTTCAAGCACAAGCATTGAAGAAGTCGAGGGCCAGTGTGCAGCGGTACTTACACAGTCTTACACACACAATTCACAACAATTTCCCTGTGTTGGAAAATCGGAGAATCTCAACATCAATTGATTATGCAAAGTAACGCAAAGACTTTGGATAAAGAAACATAAGAAACCACTAGTTTCAGCAAGATCACATGTTTCTTTTCACCTTTGGGCAGTCTGAAGATGAAGTCGAGGTGCAAACTGTTGCATTGCGCTGTTCCATACTGTTCTAAATGGATGTTGACGGATTTTGTCTGCAAGTGTTTGAACGATTTTGAACGTGATCGCAAGCTTATGAAGCTTATGCATGCGCTATGGGCGTCGGGAGCCCTTCTCTGCTTGCAGGTCACCTTTAAGAAAGAAGGCTTGCAAAAGGGTGACAAGAAGTATGTGAAAGCGACCTCCCCAGTCATTTGAGTAGTTGTGAGAAGAAACAGAGTGTTGAAGCGCAGCAGAGGGTTGTAGCTCTTTGCATCTTAGTCAGCCCATGTCAGCCCTTCTGTCGGTGGATAAGTATTTCAGCCACGCGGCTACTGCTTGTCCTGCAGGTCGCCTTTGGCCGGAAGCGCTTAAGAGTAGAGGTGAAGGAGGAGGTCCAATGGGGCAAGACCATGCACAAGGAACACACGGCAGAGTGAAGAAAGGTGAACCATGCGAGCTATGTGAGCCACTGACGATGACTCCGCAGGTGATCATTGACTCAACTCTGGCTGGCAACACCACTGCAGACGAGTGCACTTGGACGCTGAGCGACGGTGTCCTTCAGGTGCGCCGCTGTGAATGAGCGATGAGCATATGCAATGCCTCAGGACACAGATGATTTGAGGATATTTGATGCATTTCAATCTATCCAATAATTAGAAGCTTCAAACATGAAAAACAATATTTGAAGCAATCCTGAAATACAAAGAGAAATCTGGAAGACTGTGTCTTTTTAATAGGTTCTGAATCCATGTGAATCCTGAGTCATCGTTTGAGACGCATGTTGCTTTGTTCGCAGGTAACTCTTGCGAAGGCTGATGAAGGGAGTTGGACTCGATCTCAGAGACAATCACGGAGCTCCACAGCTCTATAAGGCATCAACAAGTCAGGTTGATCAGGTTGATAGTCAATTTTGTCAAGGCATTGTTGTTAGTGTGTCATATTGTGTCATATTGTGTAACATTGTGTCATGTTGTGGCGTAGATTTCTGAATCCTGCGACTTTTCCACACGTCTTGTCCTGACTCATACAGAGGCCTGAACTTTTGGAGGCCTGAGCTTGAGTGGTGGGCTAAACCTTTGGCTCAGCCAAGGTGCTCGGTTTGTTAATGGTAGCTGCTTGACAAAAGCAGGTTTTGAAAACTGATGCAATCAGACGTTTTAGATTATCGACGTCTACAGACCAGCAGACTGCTTGTACAGCAGAAGCATGAATGCTGTGAAACTGCTCAAACTCTGGCAGCAGTGTTCTGAAATCCTTCCGCAACTTCAGAGCCTTTTACCACCTCAGGGGTCTGCATGAATCGCAGCCTCCTGATCTACTTCAAGATTGACAGCCGTTGGAGCTGACCTTTCCAAGGATACGTTTTTATGTAGACCTACCAGCAGGGTTTGGGCTCAAAGTAGGAGTATTGTTTGTAGATTGGGGCCAAGCGATCCAAGCAAAGTTTTGGAGGTCACTCGGCTTCAGCCCATGACACCTTAAACAATCCACAGCAAGTGGATGCCCTAGTTTACTTGTAGCAAACAAAGCTGATGGTGGGGTGACTAAGGGGATATTGAGAAATGAAAGCAGAGGTTGACGAAAATGAAGGGTGGCGAGCTCAGTGCTGGGATCAGTTCAGGGCAAAAGTGTTTGGATGTTGATTTCTTGTTCACAAAATTGCCCAGGAAAAGTGGTAGCATCGGCAAGATAATGGATGTGCCCATGGAAGCCCCCAGTTGTGGCATTGCTACGCAAGCAGTCTATGCAGGGGTCATCAGCAGTTTTCTCTACGGCTGCTTGACAAACAAAAAGCTGAAGCATCAAAGCTGTGGCTGTGCCGTGGAATGCTGTGAATATGCGGATCACATCAGAAGACTCTGGGGGGCGAAGTGGCACTCGGTGTGGATTTTGACACTCAATGCCTCAATGGCTATCAACCCCAGGGTCCTTGCAGGTTCCTGCTGTATCTGAGGCTACCACCTTTGTAATCTCAATTCATGTGTCCAGGCTTCAAATGGAAATGCCTTGGAAATTCCAAGTCATCCACATGTTCCTTGCAACACTTCAATGCATTTGTAACTTTCGTCAGTTTCATGCTTTCAATTAGCACTATCTTAGGCATGGACTTTATTGCCCTGCACTTCGAATGGTGCAAGAGTACGAAGCGGGCAGATTGTTTGGTCAGTGCGATGGATGGAGGCCCACACTTGGATTCAACACTCCAACAGATCACCACTGCTGTCACTGCTACTTTTGGAATCACAGTGAGATGGGTAGACTAGGGTAGACTGGTGCAGCTAGATGACGCGAGATGATTGATTGTTGTCTGAAAGCTCTGAAAGCTCTTAAAGCTTCAACATTATTATCCAACATCATAGTCCTTCCTCTTTGATCCTCTTTGAGCATTTTGAGCTTTGTGCCTCATGTTTGTGTCCAGGTCTTATCAATGCCATTCTCTATTTAGGAGCTGCGGCAGGGGCTTTGTTGGTGGGCCGTCCGTTTATGGTCAACTATGGTAGCTTTGCTGTACTTGGAACACTGGAGACTTAAGTCAAAGGGCAGTCTCGCAACACTCAAGTGCAAAGTTGATATCGAGTGTTAGTGTTTCCCAATGATGTTTCCTGGATCTCTAGTGACCTAATGGATGCTTCAAATTAGATGTTCTTACAGCGTGAGTTGCTTGATCGGGATCTCCTGCAAGTTCAGAAACCAACTTCAAAGCATGTCCAGCTGTGTCGGTTTCTATCTTTCTATCTTCCCAACCAAGGTTCTCGAATGCAGTTGGTGATTTCCGATGCTGGCCTTCAGAATTCTGTGCGTGACAACCCTGATGTCGTGTGGTTGGGACTCTCTTAAGGGTTACATAAGTTATGGGTGCTTGTGTCGAACCTCGAAACATTCCATGGCAGATTCGCATGGCTCAGGATGCATTCTTCATTTTTGGGGGCCTCTTTGGGGCGCTTGCTGGGGGCATCAAGTTTTTGCTCATTTCTCGTCTGCTCTCTGGCATCGGCCTGGGCATCTCTGTTTCTTGGCGTCCGGTTGCATCACATGGTGCTTGAGGCAACCACTATGGTCAGATTCTGTCAGAGGTTTGGCTGAAATTGCTGGCTTTGAACTTTGAACCAGGCAATTTCAGCACCTGTCTACATTGCAGAGGCATGAATCCGAATTAGTTGGAAGGATGCACTTGTGATTTGTGTAGACAAGGGGTGTTTCATACGCTTTACAAAGGCGATTGTGTTGAGTCTTTGGTACCCGTAGTGTTTGTATTGTGGTGAAAGCTGGAAAGTGAAAGTGAAAGTGAACCTATTCATGCTTTCCATTTCAGCACATGAAAAAAAAGTAGTCGCAGCAAGCTTTGTGTTGGGAGGTCTCGCCAGCTGAAACCAGAGGATTTCATTCCGCAAAGCATGGCTTATACATTGCTGCTGGTATCTCGCTGCCAGAGCACCGTTTTTCTCTGCTGTCTTGCTCTGGTCTTTGCAAGCGTTTGCAAAGGCCACAGAAGTGGCACCTGTAGATTTCAGTAGATTTCAGTAGTGTCACTTTTGTTTCAAGATTCTTTCACCTGTAGAGTCTAGAGTCACCTAGAGTCATCTAGAGCATTCTAGAGTCATCTAGACTCATGTAGAGTCATCTAGTTTGCACAAGTCTCTGAAGAGTTCAGACAGTTCCGGAACATAATATGTGCATATAACTGCATATATAATATGTGCCATAGTCAGAAGTTAGCTTTTATACCAATATACATTCATCAGGATTTATATACCTGTAAGAATTATTAAGAATTCCCATGGGATGGATGACAGGATGACTTTTTTCACCTCCAAATACCATGTTTTGACCATGGCACATACATAGCACATAGAAACAATTCGAGCAGTTTCCTCGAAGAAAAATTGAGGCCTTCTTGCAGCTGAACTCGTCGGACTCCCTCAGGATCCACCAGACCACGGTCTCACGGCCTCTCAGCGAACAAAAAAAGATCTTGCAATCGATCCCACTGCTGCTACAATGGTATATAAATAGTATATATATATAATATTATATAATTATATATATATGTCATCACATATATATATACACATATACATATATATATATATGTGATGATGTATGATATATGTTGATATATGATGGGTGTCTTTATAAGCGTCGGTTTGCACATGTGCCAGATGGACAAAAGTGAAGCAGGCTAGACGTTGTGGCACGTACCACTGCTTTGTATTCGTCTTGCTGTTTCGACACAAGGTGACACACATGAGTAATGTGTTTCTGGGTTTCATGCTCTCAGTAAGCATCTCAAGCCTACTCTAGCTTGAACAAGCGTTCTGCATTGTAAGGTGCGAAACAACTGGTGGTGGCGAGCGATACTTGGCTTGCCAGCCTTTCTCGCAGGCGGTTTCTTTGTGTTCAAAGCCAAAAATGAAACAGCTCCTAAGAGTAGGTAGTTGAGCAGCCAGTGGATGACATTTCTCCAGCAATTGCGTTGCCAGGGCTTCATGGTACTGGTAGATAGTCCTTCTCGATGCCCAAATTCCTGCACAGACCCGTTGTTTTTGAGTTTCCGAAACAATAACGGAAAGGACGTTCAACATCATTCAGGATTTGTTGCAAAGAGTGCCATCAATCCTCATTTTCTGCCGCTAACAACAGCCCCTCTCCCAACAATAAACTCTAAGCCCTGAACACTGAAATGTCCCTCAACCCTAAAACTTTGAGCCACTGCGTATGCCAGTGTTTTTTAACTCCTCCGAACCATGTTCACCCTCCGCAAGATCCCATAGAAGTATGAGCAACCGCAGGATGCAGAAACAGCACGCAAGGAAGCCCTTTTTTGTACTAACTTGCAGTTGAGAAAATCAAGGTATCCACAACCACAACAGCAGAGGCATTATATATACAGTATATTACAGTCACTACAAATACTGTATCAGAAACAAGCAAAACTATAGACGACACCAGCCGCAGCAAGATGAAGAAACAACATCAGCCCTGACAAGCGAAGAGTTGCCACATCGCAGGGGTTCAATTCCTTTTGTTGAAGTACGATCTTCCCGTCGATTCGGTGACCTTCCTCGTCCGACAGGCAAGGCATGTACAATCATGTGGGAACTTGATTCTGCTGGAGTCTGACCATTCCTCAGTCTAAAAATTCTGAGCAAGAGTGAGGCAGATGGTACTCTCACATAACTTGAATTGCAGCCATTGCAGCAATGCTTTTGAGAACCCAAAGCTCTTTGCAGAATCTCACCACAAACGCTTCGCAAGTCGGCTTAGAATACTACCAGTGCCATCCAGATCCAGTGGTCCATCTCTCGACGCCGTGCGCAGGGAAGAATGGATGAAGCCAGGAGAGCCATTTAAGTACCCTGTGTGTCCTGTGTGTCCTGTGTGTCCTGTGTGTCCTGTGTGTCCTGTGTGTTTGCGTCATTCTGCGTCACTGTTAGATCTTGCTACTGTACTTGAGATGTCATCCGATATCCGAAGCAGTTTTCGAAGCAGTTTGTGATGTTTCGTTTCGATATTTTTCATTTTTAGTGTTTGCTCACATGACATAGTGTGCAGGACAATGCTGTACAGAACCTATGGGATGATTCCTCTCGAACTGTCATCAAGTTGCATCATGATCGCCTTGCACTAATAAGTGTCACAGATGCCCAACATAGGGCCATCTTGAAATACCAGAGGTCTGCGACTGGCCTTGCAGACACCAAAGTGGCCAAATTGGAGCTGAAACTTAAGGAACTGGCGGTGGCTTGGCAGTGGTGGGATCTCATGGGATTTCATTTTCGGATATTTTCGGTATCTGATGGTCTCATTGCCCACGAAGTCAGGGTCCACTTCCGCGAATCCATTGCGGTTCTGCCTGCCAGGTGGTTGCGGCAGTAGCTGGGTCTACCCGACGCATCACAATCATACAGGTAGGGATGGCAACAACGGCAGGGCCATACAGGGCCTGTTCTGATGTGCCATGATGTGCCCATGGAATGTTATGGGCATATCATCATATATTCATCATATTCTCCAATCATCTGAAGCTTCACAGATCCTCCTGCTCCTCCCCCTCCTCGTTGTGCCCACCCTGCCAGCTTTCGATCCTTACCCCTTGGCCTCAAATTAGATCACAATGATACTAATGATACAGGCTTATACATCATCTGTATTATTCGGATTGGTTGACATTGATTCGATTGATTCATACTGAGATTTGGAATTTCAGGTTTCAGCCAGGCCATACTAGACCCAACTTGTCTTCAGGCGTTGCACGATCCTTTCCTACGGTGCTCTATTGTAGTCTCTTCGAAGCAATTTAGTGGGTCTAAGCAGCCATGTGCCTCAAAACCAGACAAAGGCTAGTATTTATGTTATTGAGAAATATTGAGAATCATTCTTACGTGGATGAGGTGGGATGGTTTCTGGCGTCTTACCAGCAGTGCCTTTTCTGCACTACTTTCTGGATGCCAACCAGTTTGAATATGTATTTTATTTTATCATGTTTCATCGCCTTTCGCCCTGGCGCATTGCATCACCAAGGCTCACTGGAATCAACGTCGGTGGCCAAGACTTCCGCGCAACATGCGCTGGGGCCATTGGATTCTATGGCGGAATGCCATGTGCAACGTTTGTAAGGCGCTAATGGCCTACTCCAACAAGCTCTTTGAGCAAGCTGGCATTCCTCCCAACTACCTGACACTTGCATCAGTTTTGAACCTTGGCAATCTTGGCCGATCCTGCTCGATCTTGGCCGATCTTGGCGTATGAACCACAGCCAATACTTTGGAGAGCAGACTAGATTCTGAGGATGTGCGTGGCGAATGTGGCGGTCTCTGTTCTTTGCTAGCAACCATCGGGAGTGGCCAACTATGACCTAGAAATGCAAAGAAATCTACAAATGGAGGACAAATCCTGGCAATCCGGGAAGGACTAGGGTGAACAAGGCAAAGGCAAGGCAAAGGCTGCAGTCCTCGTGTCCTACGCATAAAATATTATAAAATGCTAACAGATTTGCTATCAATCTACAACAAAATGTGGAAGCAAAATGACTTGCAGCCACCTGAGCGAAGACTTTATCGACTTTATTGTTTGGGATCATTTGGGGAGTGCTATGCAGTGCTGTGTCCTGAGGTCTTGAGCACAAAATTGGTGGATACTTGGGGCAGACGTACATTGCTGCTTTGGGGAAGCTCTACTCAGACGCTAGCCATGGCCACTTGCAGTGATACTAATGGAGGGCCAGGAAGAAGAGAGACGCATCACCAACAATAGGAAAACAATGCCAAACAATGATAAACATGTATAGCATCGAGATGCAAAGAGAACAGACATTTTCTGTTTGGTGGAACTCGCAGGGGAGTCAACATAGCTGAGGGTCTGATAAGATTTTGTTTGGATGATGGTTGCCTGTCGATTGGGGAGAGCTCTCGTTTGCACCTGGCTCGAACGAATATGCCGTGCAGAATTCTTGTCGTCGTACTCGCATGCACTCCACCAGGCTTCCATGGTCTATGTTGTTCAAATATTGTTCCTTGGCTCTGACTTTGAAGCAATGTCTCTGGAGTGGGAGATGATCGAAAAACGTTGACCAGTCAAGCACTTGACGTTTTCGTTTTGACGTGAAGATAGATCTCAGGCCACTTGAGTTGCAGGGGCTGATGGCCTTTTTCTTCTTTAGCCACAGCCTCGATTTCATGGTTGTTGCAATGTGGTACAGGAGGCTCTTGTGTTGCATTTCATCATCATTTCATCTAGAATCTAGGCTAATCCAACCTTCTGTATCGCATCCTTGCTGAGATCGTTGTATGCTGCATAGCGCAGAGATAAGCTACAGACTCATGCATGTTCCATCATATTCCTTAGGTCTTTTCGTCGTATCGTGGAATTATGGCCTTGGTGCGATTACCTGGCTTTGGCTGTCTGAAATTTATCCGATGGAGATTCGAGGACACTGCAAGGTTTCCCCTTGTGGGCAATTGAAAAGCTCAGCTATGCACCTGCAGCAACTGGCCAAACCACTATCTTGAGCCCTGACTTGCCAAGTGGAGGACAAGCACTCTCCGCTTGTGGAGTCATAAAGTGGATCAGCTGCTTTTTCATTGTGCTCATTGCTCGATTTTTGCATCTCGTTTGCCAGAAGTGAAGTTAGGTGTTCTGGTTTTTCATTTCTCAGTCTAATTGTTCACATGATTGTTTTGCTCGTCGTGTCCAAAGCTGAGGAATTTGCATTTGTCATGTTGCCTTTTCGGTGGGGACCTTAGTAGCTAGAACTTTCAAGTCCTCTAGAGAAAATCCTCTGCTCGCACCAGGAACAATGAAGCGCATGTAAATTTGAATTCCTCGTTGTTCGTTGAGTTGCCTGGATAAGTCCATCCTCAACCGTTCAGCTGTTTTCCTGCACACACCTGAAAGCAGAACAGCAGAATAATTATTTAAGGGCTGCCGCCCCTGCCGCCGACCCCGGAAGAATTGGCAATGAATGGAACCAAATTGGCAGAAATATTTGTCGGTGCTTCGCACTTGCAGGTTTTCTCCTTTTTCAAATGTATATTTTCATGAAATATACTTGATATGTTTGAATGAAATATATTTGATAAAATATTTGATATAGTAAGAAAACCCACCCACCAAACCCTTTCACCCCCCTGAGCAGTTCCTCGACGACTTCAACCAGAGTGTGGGTCTTGAGCTCGTGAATTATAAAATAAATAAACCCTCCCATTTATCCCCCCTTTTTGCGGCAAGGTGCTGTGTTGTTCCGTGGCAAGGCGCAGAACTGAAATAAAATACACAGGCATCCATCATGTGTGGCACTAGTGGTTCAGGTATCGCATGCAATGATGTTGTTGGTGTTCGAAAAGCATATGGGAAAATACGATGGTTGGACATGCTAGGCCATCGTATTTTCCCACGTCATTTTTGGAGGATTTGGGAGCGAAGGTTTGCTGATTTTCTTGAGCGATTAATTAGATATTGAGGATGTATATGGATGTATCAGTTTCTATTAGCAAGTCTGTTCAGAATGCGTTGGTATGCAGGCACCTTTAGCACTTTGAAAACCATCCGTGGCAAGGTGCAATATTATTGCTAGTGGCAGGTGCAGCAACTAGCCACGGCGCAGAGTATGCATAGCATGTTTTTTCTTGGCACTAATGGTTTGAACAAGGTGTACGACTTGTATGTAGTTTTCGGCTAAGTGTCTTTTTAAGTGCCTCCGCCACGCCCAAACAGCAGGGCCCGAAAGGACGGACCGGGCCTGCCGGCAACGGCCCCTGCTGCCTAATGTTGCTTTCTGAACCTACAAGAAAAGTAGCCATCTTCGAGCTTGCCAAACTCAGAAACGGCGCCTCCGCCACGCCCAAACAGCAGGGCCCTGAAGGACGGACCGGGCCTGCCGGCAACGACCCCTACTGCCTAACGTTGCTTTCTGAACCTACAAATGGCAACACCCTGAAGGACGGACTGGGCCTGCCGGCAACGGCCCCAACGGCCTAACGTTGCTTTCTGAACCTACACGAAAAGTAGCCATCTTCGAGCTTTCCAAGCTCAGAAACGACGCCTCCGCCACGCCCAAACAGCAGGGCCCTGAAGGACGGACCGGGCCTGCCGGCAACGGCCCCTACTGCCTAACGGTGCTTTCTGAACCTACAAGAAACGTAGCCATCTTCTAGCTTTCCAAGCTCAGAAACGGCGCCTCCGCCACACCCAAACAGCAGGGCCTTGAAGGACGTTCCCTACTGCCTAACGTTGCTTCTGAAACCCTAGAAACAGACAATCTGTGCAAAAAAATTAGCTGCTGCTGCTGCTGCTGCTGCTGTAGCAGTAGTAGTAGCAGTAGTAGTAGCAGCAGCAGCAGTAGTGTCTTCTGAAATCCTAGAGAACTATATATAGCTGGCCCTGCTGTTTCGAAGCACCTCCGAAACAGTAAAACACCACCTAATTTCGTGCCGAAAAGGACACAAAATCGCAGCAAAAACCTGCCTAACGTGTCTTCTGAAATCCTAAAGAATCTTATTAGAATTAGATAGAATTAGATCTATTGCTGCTGCTACCGGCCTGCTACCTACTGGCTGCTGCTGAAGCCGCGAAAATCTCCTGAGCTGCTGGCTACTGGCTGCTGCTGAAGCCGCGAAAATCTCCTAAACTATAAATATAAAACTATATATAGCTGGCCCTGCTGTTTCGAAGCACGTCCGAAACAGTAAAACACCACCTAATTTCGTGCCGAAAAGGACGCAAAATCGCAGCAAAAAAGCTGCCGAACGTGTCTTCTGAAATCCTAGAGAAGCTTAGTAGATCTATCGAGTTTCAAAACCACGTTAAAAAACTGCCTAACGTGTCGTCTGAAATCCTAGAAAAACAACATTTTTCGAGAGATCGAGGGATTCTGTTGCCTGCAGCTACTGGCCGTAAAACGTGGCAGTGAAGGATCAAAAGTATGCCTATAACTACTTTTTCCTGCTGGCAGTACTGCTGGCAGTAAAACAGCTTCCAAAAAAGCAGCTGCCGGCAGGAAAACGCCAAACAGCTTCGAAAAAAGTGTCAAAATCACGCTAAAAAACCTTCTACCATCCCTTCTGAAATCCTAGAAAAACACAATTTTTCGAGAGATTCTATCGCCTGAAGGTGTTAGAGATCTCGCACAAAGTTACCATCGAACTTGAACCTCGAGGATGCGGCCTCGAACGAACAGATCAGGGCGGGAAGGGCAACCAAGGAGCCCCACGTACCTCGAGGAGACTCCGGGAAGGACCCCCCACCGGTAAAACAAAAACCCCGGAGTCAATGAATCGACGTACGTGACCGGTGGGAGGGGGACCCAACAGGGTCCCCCGGCAAAGGGTCATTGTTGTTGTTGTTGTTGTTGCTGTTGCTGTTGCTGTTGCTCTTGCTGTTGCTGCCATAAAATAAAATTAAAATAGAATCCTGTTGCCTGCTGCCTGCTGCTGCCTGCTGCTCCTGCCTGCTGCTGGCTGCTGCCTGCTCCTGCCTGCTGCTGGCTGTTGCTGCTGCTGCTGGCTGCTGCTGGCTGCTGCTGGCTGCCTAACGCCGGCTGCTGCTGGTTGCTGCTGCCGGATGCTGCCTGCCAGACACCTACTGCTGCCTGCTGCTGGCTGCTGCTGGCTGGTGCGGGCTGCTGCTGGCTGCTGCTGGCTGCTACCTGCTGCCTGCTGCCTGCTGCTGCCTGGTAGTAAAAGTAGCAGTGCAGTACCTCTTCTTCCCTTACGCGCTCCCCCTTGCATCGGCCGGGGTCAGCGAATTATTATTATTCTTTCCTGGCAGCTGTATGCTCCCCCTTGCATCGGCCGGGGTCAGCGAATTATTATTATTCTTTCCTGGCAGCTGTGTCATAAACTCTTTTTCCCTTACGCACTCCCCCTTGCGTCTGCCGGGGTCGGCGGATATAAACATGAAGCTTATGGACTGTCGAGAGCATAGTATGCTCCGGTACCAAAGACACGACTTGATCTAAGAAAATTGCAGCCTATATAAACATGAAGCTTATGGACTGTCGAGAGCACAGCAGAGGTGGCACATGGTTGTTGTTGTTGTTGTTGCTGTTGCTGTTGCTGTTGCTGTTGGTGTTGGTGTTGTTGTTGGTGTTGTTGTTGTTGTTGTTATGTTGTTTAGCTACTTTTTTCTCCTGCTGCTGAAGACGCTCCTACTGCTGCTGCTGCTGCTGCTCTGCTGCTGCTGGTGGCTGGCTGCGACGCCTAAAATCGAACCATTCCCAGCGGCAAATCCCCATGGCAGTGCTAGTGCTGCTGGTGGCTGGCTGCGACGCTTAAATACCACTCCCAGCGGCAAATCCTCATGGCAGTGAAGGACGGAAAAGCTCCTACTGCTGCTGCTGGTGGCTAGCTGCGACGCTTAAAATCGAACCACTCCCAGCGGCAAATCCCCATGGCAGTGCAGGACGGAAAAGCATCAAAATTGCGCCCAAAAACTCCCTAATGTAACTTGTGAAACCCATAGTTAAAGGAAGAGTACTCTCTAATGTAACTTCTGAAACCTATAGAAAATGATGATTTTAGCTACTTTTTTCTCCTGCTGCTGAAGACGCTCCTACGAACCACTCTCAGCGGCAAATCCCCAGGCAGTGAAGGACGGAGAAGCATCAAATTTGCCACCAAAAACTCCCTAATGTAACTTCTGAAACCCATAGAAAATGATTATTTTAGTGATTTTAGTGATGATTTTAGCTATGATGATTTTAGTGATGATTCTAGCTACATGTTTCTCCTGCTGCTGAAGACACTGTTTCCTGCGGCTGCTGCTGCTGCTGCTCCTGCTCCTGCTACTCCTTCTGTTCAAAAACGTATCTTCAAAAGGGAATCGCCTCAAACCGAACCACTCCCAGCGGCAAATCCCCATGGCAGTGAAGGACGGAAAAGCTTCAAAATTGCGCCCAAAAACTCCCTAATGTAACTTCTGAAACCTAGAGAAAATGAGCTATTTTAGCTACTTTTTCCTCCTGTTTCCTCCTGCTGCTGCTGCTGCAGGCATCTTCAAAAGGCAGTCGCCTAAAACCGAACCGCTCCCAGCGGCAAATCCCCATGGCAGTGAAGGACGGAAAAGCATCAAAATTGCGCCCGAAAACTCCTTAATGTAACTTCTGAAACCTAGAGAAAATGAGCTATTTTAGCTACTTTTTCCTCCTGTTTCCTCCTGCTGCTGCTGCTGCTGCAGGCATCTTCAAAAGGCAGTCGCCTAAAATCGAACCACTCCCAGCGACAAATCCCCATGGCAGTGAAGGACGGAAAAGCAGCAAAATTGGCCCTAAAACTCCTTAATGTAACTTCTGAAACCCATAGAAAAGAATCATTTCAGCTACTTTTTCTTCCTGTTTCCTCCTGTTTCCTCCTGTTTCCTCCTGCTGCTGCTCCTGCTCCTACTACCTGCTATTTCTTCTGTTCAAAAAGGCA